TGGACATCTTGGATGTGTTTGAAGAGATTAAAGTTGGTGTTGCCTACAAACTAAAAGGGCAACGCATTGAAACTTTTCCAGGTACTTTCCAAAACGTATCTGATAAATATGAAAAAGAATTGTAATATCATGATGAATTTTGAGGATATAGTAAAATGTGATCATCTTTTGGGATATCTAAACTGTATCAGACTACATTAAATTACAGAGCACTTGTTACTGGCCTAGTGGGTAATTTATTGGTTGCGCATTCTGTTTGTCCTAATTTATCATTACAGTATATGAAAGCAAAAAGAGAAGTGAATTTGAAATATTGCTTTTCTTCTGAAAATTGAGATTTATTTTATGAGGTAACTTAACTTTTATTATACTTCAAAGGCAAATAACATTTTTGTGTGGTAAAATTATGTAAAAGATAATATTTGTTCTGAGCTTCAACCCTGTTGAATTTAATACTATTAACCTGTGTTTTGGTTTCTAATATTTCTTTATACTACCTTGCTTGATATTTTATTTCAATTGTCACTAAAGACATCCATATTTCTGCTTATTTATACAGCATCTGATGATGATCTTCAGCAAGTTGAGGTTGAATATATTACACTTCCAGGGTGGAAGGAATCTACAGAGAGTGTGAGAAAATTCTCTGAATTACCAGCAAATGCCAAGAAATACATCAGCACAATAGAACAACATTTAGGAGTGCAAGGTAATTTATTTTCATACTATAAAAGCTTTTGCAATCATGCAATCACCATTTAAAAGTTTCTTTAAGATTAAGCCTGCAGTTTCTCATATTTAAAAATGTGTTGATTATTGCAGTCACATCTAAACTTACTACAGGACACTGTAAATAATGATAAACAGTCTGGTGTTTGAATTCCAGCTACCTCATGTGTCAACAGACTTAATATAGTCACTAACTAAAACATGCTTAAGTCTGATGTACTGTTAGTTCATGAAATTGCTGTGAAGAAAAAATTAAAGTCATAACAAGAAGAATGTGCCATGCACTATCTCACTCTATATCAGCATGCTAGCAAGCTCTAACGGCCACAAATAATGTTAAATCACAAACCCATTAATTTAAAATTTTAAAAAGTACTCGATTTTTTATGCAGCTTTTTTAAAAATATATAAATATTTTTGTATATAAGACATGGTGATTTCAGTCTTGCGATAAATGTCAGGATTTTACAAATGCTTGATCTATGGCAGAATGATGCCAAAAAGCTTAAAAGATTGCAATCAATAAATCATAATCACCACATCTATATTGCACAATTTACATCGGAAATAACATCTGTTGTTTTGTTGTTTTTTTCCAACAATTCCAGTGAAATGGGTTGGTGTTGGCAAAGACAGAGATTCCATTATCTCCATTCCATGATTGAAGTTGCTCTACTTTTGGTGGCACTGCTGACTGCAAGTTTCTCAATCTTACTGCTCCCATTTGAATTGTGTGGCTGTTGACCTTATAATTGCAATTTAGTATTAACCTCCCATGAATAGCTAAGTACACCACTATAAAACTGCATATGAGATACCTGTACACAGTTTCAACTGACATTGTGTGTCAAGTTTGTGTTGGAATGGCATGCACAAAAAATCTCAAAGAAATTTATTACATTTCAACAGGGTTGAAGATTTAACAAACGCATGTGTTTATAAAAAGGTATTTTTGAATCTCTGACATTTTTATTTGTATCAATTAATAGAAGCCCATTTTTTTTTACAAATAAAATCTTTTAAGGTTTATCAATGATATCTGACAACTATTTACAGCATGCCATATTTTTTTTATCAATTATGTCTTTACATCTGCTTTGTTTTTATAAATGAATAAAAACTTGGTCATCTTAATTTTATAAAGATCTCTCCCCCCCCCCTCCCTTTATTTCTTTTGCTTGGCATGTATTTATTATATGTGAGGTGGCACCACAAAATAAGTTTTGAAATGGTGTTGAATTTTTACTAAATCTATGCTTAGCATGTAGCTGATTAGTACTAAAATCATCCTTACTGCTACAAAGATTAATTTGGGATATATTGAAAGCTGCTAATAAGATCAGTGCATACACTAGAACAGGGGTAAGCAACCTACAGCACTTGTGCCAGACTCAGACTTGGCACACATAGCCATTTTTATGGGCACGCAGAAGATCAAAAAATAATGATGAATGACTAATAAATGTTTCTTATTTGGTAGACTTGTTAAGTTTGGCACACTGAATGAATTGGAAGTCTTACTTTGGCACATCAATACTAAAAGGTTGCCAACCCCTGCACTAGACAGTATCCTCTAATGGTATCTTGTAATTAATTTTACTTTACTGTTTTTAAAGATATAATTTTTTTTGCTAATAAACTAATTAAATTAAATTAAAAAATTTTAAACAATTAATATTAACTCGTTAGCAGTACTGAAACCTCTTTGTTTTGGAATTCTCATTGTACCTTCTACAGTTTTTATTTTATGGTGTGTAGATAATTCTACATCTACGTCTAGTAATTTTTTTGCACGCTTATTTTTAGTTCTTTTGGTTTGCTGTGGGCATTTCACTTGTTTACGATTGATGACAACCTGCATTTAATCACACATTTTATAATTTTTAAACCTTGCCATTAAAGCTGTGTCATTGTGTATGGTCGATTGTAACATACTATTTGCAATCTTGGCATTGGATGCAAAACTGTTAAAGCACTTAAAGACTACTCAAGAAAATTATTTGACAAATTTAAACAAATTTAAAATTTACACATTTTTATAGTTCATAGGTAATAATAATTTTTATAATTTTAATAGTTGTGTGTGTGTGAAATGAACAAATCTTGAACTTTTTTTTTGTACTGCCAATTTTATTGTATTTTCTCGAATCAAATTTAATAAACTTACAAATATGTAAAATATTGGTGTTCTCTTCTATGCCCTTTTTGTGGTGTTCTCTGAGCTAATGGGATTAATCATAAGAAAACTGTTGACACCTTTTGATAAATTTTTTGCAACAGCACAAAATTAAAATATTGAATTATTGTCATATTGCATTCTTAGTCATTCTATATAATATAATATTAGATATTTAACTTTGTTGTACCGGTTCTACTAAATGCTGTGACATGATATTTAATATATTTTTGTTTCCAAATAATTTATTTCACTGCCTTGAACTTGAAGGTCTATATGTATAGTCTTGAGATAAGATTTTTTTAGTCCTAAGATAAAGTGGTTAGTTTCTATGAATTTCTTAATCATGTATCAAAATAAGTGACCTGAAATTGTTGCTTTATTTAATGGGATTAATATTCATTGCAGATGAAAATATTTAAAAAACTGATTGCTTTCTGCAGATTTGGTCTAATATTTGGCAGCTTAAAAGAATGTCTATACTGAAACTATAAACTCATCTTGAACTATTTTCTCAATTAGTGAGCTGAAGTTATGAATTTTATTATAATAAAGGATCGCAAAGTAAATTTTTAATTTCTCTTTTATTATCATTTTTTTAATAACTATAAAGAACATTGGGGAATAATAAAAATAGTATAGTTACTGTCATCCCACCTTTAAGGGTTGAATAGACTTATTTATGTGTGGTAGTGCCTGATAGAGATGTTCAAAGTTATGTTGGATATTTATTTATTTATTTATTTAGGCATTTTTATATAGCGCTTATCATAAAGCTCTAAGCGCTTTACAATTATTAAAACATGTAAACTAAGTAAATACAAATGAGACACTAGGATAGTAACTACTATTCTATAGAAACAATGAAAATGGCTATAAAAAGAGGACACTTTGACACTTCAGGATTAAACCGAAACAGAAAATTAGGTAGGGCAAGGAGGGTGCATCACAGGTCATAGGCGGACCTAAACAGATGAGTTTTAAGGGACTTTTTGAAAATGGACGAGGTTTCACTATGACGTATATGGAAGGGGAGCTGGTTCCAGAACGTGGGCCCATGGAAGCAGAAGGAGCGTTCACCGATGGTCTTAGTTTTAGTTCTTGGGATTGAGAGGGTTCTACTGTCAATGGAAGAACGTATCAACCATATTCATAAATAGTTTTGGCGATTGACCTTAATTTAAACATCCATTTTCTCTTGGTTGTACCAATTTTTGACAGATTGAAAAACTGAGATGCGTGATGACATTAGGGAGGAAAACCACACTAACCTTCTTTGTAATAACTTTTAATAAAATAAATGGAACAGTAAACTTTTATTTGTATAAAGATAGGTTCGTGATATTTGGCTGTTTGCTGAAAGGTTGATATTGCATATTAATTAGTATTGGTACTTGGTTTTGTGACTAACATTTTGAAATACAATTTGGTTAATTTTTCTTAATAAATGTTTTATTTTAAACTAGTTTTTAAATTTGAGAATTACTTAAGCAAATTGTAGGCATAGTATGTTTCTATTCCCTTAGCCAATTAACACACTCAATAAGGTTTTTACTAATTTTGCAATGTACATTTTTTTTTTAATGGGATCTTAAATACAACTTTTACTTGGTGTTGCTTAGCAGGGAATACAAATTCTGGAGTGGTGTTAATATTTTCATATACTTTTATCATTATTATAAAGAATGAGAATAATTTTTACAAGTTAATTGGCAACTAAATCTTTTGAGCCATTATTTAGTTTTGGATGAATGTATCACAGAAAACCTCCAATGTTAGTGTTAGAAATTAAAATAATAAAGCCTTGATTCGATGGATGCAGATGTTTATGAAACCAATTGAAAAGAATAATATATGCTTTGATAACATCCCTTTTGTAGAGAAAATATGAACAAAATAGACTGGTATTATAAACTCTTTATACATATAAAGTTATTGCTACATGTTTCTCACATCAAATCCTTGTGTATAAATACAAAAGTTGTAAGGATATTATATGTTAATAAAAGGGGTTTACCATACTAAAATGTTCCAGTCTCATTTTTATTTCACCATCATTTTTCAGAAATCATTTCTGGTGGTCTCCAACGTGCAAGCCTAATGTTTTCATTTAACAGTCCTTATGATGATCATTGTATAGGGTAACACTAACAATGTCTGATTGAAAAAACACTGACACAACTCATATTTCAAATATACAAGAAATAAAATGTTTATTTTCCTCGTGCCATTCAAAATAATTATGGTTTTTTTTTAAAAACAGAAAGCTTTAACATGACAACCAACTGTTGTGTCAACTATAAATAACTACATAATCCAGACTTTTGTGTTACTAACTAAGTCAAAGAAAGTACATTAAACCTTAAAATAACAGAGTACAATATCAATAAATGAATGTTAACATGAACTGTTTCATTTTTATTAATTAAATCATTAAAAAAAAAAATTTACCAATACTTATGCTATTCTGTACACTTCATTTGATATGACAATTCTACTTATCAATATTTAAAAAAACTTTTTTAAATAGTTCTAATCGACCTGGTCATATTTTTTAAACTTAATCTTTGGTCAAATAAGTGTTTACTTTTTACTGCATTACATTGTAACAATTATTCAGTATTATAGTTAAGAAATTTTAAAATGAGCAAAAGATACCTTTTTGTATTAAGCTGCTAAAAAACAACATTCTTATTTTAGAAAATTAGCTAAATCACACAGCATACAATTGAAAACTTCAAAGAATGTAGTTTACACACTTCTCAAGCATAATATAGTAGAACATACTTCAGGCTCACCATGCGTACATCATTCATCCAACAAAGGACTCATAGAGTTCAGCAATGTCTGGTCTAATACACCTAGAAAAATATTTTTATGTGGACAGTATGTGCTGCAACTATATTCATGTCAAATTAACCTGTGCAATTTTTACCTAAAAATTGTTGTGTTTTTGTTTTTTTGTTTTTTTTAATACGAAAAATTGATTTGAAATCTTGGGCATCAGGCTTCTAAAACTGTATTTATGGAGATAAAAATGTTTTCTGCACTTTTGCAATCCTTCAACTTGCTAAATTTCATCTACGAATCAAGATCTTTAACAACAATCAACATCAGTGACTTGCCGAACAACATGCTTTCGCACATGCCCCATGTAAGGACACTGCTTCTCTGCCTGTCTTTGTGAGTTTACTTAAAATTTGATATGAGTAGTCTTCTTCATCATAGATACCTTGCTCTGGTGAGATCTCATCAACAGTGTACCTATTGATTTGGAATATTGTAAAAGTTTATCATTCCTCTGTAAAATTTAAAAATTAACCATTTAAACATGAGAATGAAGACAAGCTTGCTCAACTAGTGGTTCAGAGCTACACATTTCTCAAAAATTCAACAAGATTTTAAAATATACTTTGTCATTCATCAGTCTGTATATATCTGAATTTTAAACCAACCCCTGCAACTTAAGTTAACAAAGAAAACAGCAGCATCAGCCACAAACTGCACCACCCAACCTGCTGCCTTGCAGCTTGCTCCAGCATGCACAAAAACAAAACCACTGCCCGCCCACTCTAAGGCATAAAACAAGACCATAAGTTTCATTGACACTCTTACAGCTGGACAACATTTCAAAAATTTTTGAATTTGTTATTGGGTTAGCGTAGAACTAGAGTGCTAAAAGATGGGTCAAAGGAACACCTTCTTCAATGTGTATAATTTAATTATCAGAGGTATGCTTAAATAAATGCTTTCTCTTATTATGGAAAATAAACAGTGTTAAAATATTACTCATTTTAGAGCAGTGTTTTCTAAAATCTAACAATCTCAAATGTACAGGCCAGTAACCATTGAAATTTGATTTGAATACTTACTTGAGTTTATTAACAAAGAATTCCTGGGCAGTATTGTTATGTTTAAAAACTGTTAGCATCACACTCTTCATTTCATATCTGGTCAAAGAAAAAAAGTCAAATTTAGAAAATTTAAGTTTTTCGATTAATAATGTTGTAAATTTAATTTTCATATATTAAGAAAACAAATTATGCACCTGTTTTCATTGCTGTTAATCTATTGAAGCTAGAAAAATTAGTGCCATTGATAACAGATCTACAAATCATATGTAATTGCTCTGTAGTGATTCTAATAGACAAATTGCAAAAGTTAAAAGATTAATTTTGATCAAACTTGGGATGTCAATCTTAATGTTGTCTTATGTACTAAGATATAAATACTAGGGTAAAATACAGAAAGAGGTGCATAATCTATTATAATAATTCCAGATGGCATTCCATACATCCACCAATGCTTAGGTGCATTGATTCTTTATAGAATGGGTAGTGATGGGTACAGATGCTGTTTTCGTTGGGTATTTTACATGTACTGTCACCATCCTAGTTTTAAAACAGGCATAATTGGAATCAGTGAAGGGCTCTCTCTTTAAACATGGCTGTCAGTCATGAACACAGCACACTGCGTAACGGATGTGTTCTTTTGTGTGCATTTAATGCACATAACCATTTAATGCACATAACAGGGGAAAGCAGCAAATGAGAATGGAGGGGTCAAGATCCACTCTAGGATTATTATTATAGATATTATAAATTCAGCCCCAAAATTCACTTTCAAACTGGTTGCTAACAGCGAAAAAGTCAAACTGTCATATTTATAAATAGACCTTCATAGTTCATCTATATGATAACAATCACTACTGGTTCATTCTCAGCGCTTGATGCTGTGCAGCATTCAGATTTTCTTTACTTCCAGGGAGTACTAGAATATCTACAATAATCATTATGTAGTGTAAACATTCACATCATGCAAGTCACAATCATACAACAGCCAACATTAGATATGATTTTATTTCCAAAGTGTGTGTCATTGGGGAAAATAATATTGAAAATTCATCTATTTTTGGAAATGACCATTCTCCGTCACAACTGGTTCTTTAAAGCTAAAGCTGACTATACATGCTTGTCCTTGGCATTATTTTAACACTAGTAGAAAGAACCCGCTAAAAAATGGTGGTGGCAATGTGTGAACCATCTACTAAAGTAACTTGACAAAACACTTTATAAGAATCTCAATTCTGGGAAATTTATTTTGCACGCCTATTGGACACAGCATTACAGCCATACATACATAATGAATTATAATCTAGATTCAAGATATTTTCGATTAAAAAATTGGTTTTATAACATGGCGCATACAAACTTTCATGGAAACACTAATGATAAGCATTATTATGAACCATGAGTAATAATAAATCTTACTTGTTTGCCATAAGTTCTAAGATCTGCATCATGAACTTTCCAAGTCCTTTTTTGCGAACGTCTGAACAAAGCTGGATTTCATAACTAAGTGGCAATGAGAGAAATAATTTTTAAAATTTAATTCAAAGTTAATAAAGCAAACAAATAATGTAAGTCAAGCAGAGTAATAATGTTCACCCCTTATTAATAACAAAACAAACAAAAGAACTGAATGGTGGTGGTGGGGGCGCACAAAGATGAAAGGCTACTTCTCTGGTTAAACCCCTGTTAAACATGTCAGCCCTCAATCTTATTCTGTTAAAAATTTTGATACTACTACTGACAAGCAAAAGTAGCTCTGCATCTCTTACACCTTACTTTCATACAAGATTGAGAGAACAAACCACTGGTATCATTCCTAACACATAAATTTAATCTTTACAAGAGAGAACTCTGAGGTATTTTTTTTAAAGTCATATCATTCACCAATATAAAACTTCTGTGTCTAGCTCCACATCAAATCTGAAGTGACTGAAGGCTACTGGCTTGCCATCTTGATCATAGGCCATAAGATACCATGCTTTCTCCTCTGTCATTTCTTCCATCTTTTCTCTGTCTTTCCAGCCCCATTCACTCAGTTCATATCTGCAAGAGAGACAGAATTTATTCTAAATGCAATTGCATGGACAACAGTTATTGAACTTAATAACCATACTCTAAAACTTTTTTTATTTTTGTGTTAATTATATACATATTGTAGTATTAACCATTTGACCTTTCAATGTAATAAATAAGATTAATTTTATTCTATAAAACACAGTTACTTGGAAATACAGAAATCAATAAAGCCAAAGTATGTTCACATTTTTTAATATTTATACCTGGAGTAATAAATGGTTCATTTATAAGATTTTAAGCCAAGTAGAGATTGTCTTTTATTGTGAATTTTGCATAAAATGGAATAGCAGAGCCTTTTTTTCTTTCATAAAACACACCATTGTCGATTGTGATTAAAAATTCAATGCAGTAAGAGGCTACAAAATTAAGTGATTTTTAAAAATTCAGATTCTTGGAAATTTCATTTATGTATTTTATTTTAATATTATGATTATGCCTCTTTGCTATATTTATGTACAGCGCGGTGAGCCCAGCCCTAGGCTGGGGTACCGCGCTATATAAGACCACTTATTATTATTATTATTATTAAATCTTTTTAGCCATCACGGCTTGAGGAAAATATTAGAGTTGACAGCATAAGATGTCATGATAGTCAACAGCTAAAAAAACCAAGATGTAGCAAGTTGGAATTCATCTGAAACTGAAGTGGAAAGAGGAGAGAGGACATACCCTAGAGCAGGGGTCAGGAACCTTATGTTCTGAGAGAGCCATGGACACCACATATTTTGAAAAGTAATTCTGTGAGAGCCATACATTATGTTTAAAACTAAAAATTCAAGTAAATGTGCGCATTTTGTGTAATTTCAACACTAAAAATGCAATAATTATGTCTCTGAATTCTTTTTAATAAAACATTGTTATGCTGTTGCTAATCAAAGGAGTCTAAAGAAACATTTTTTTTATAATCTAACATTTGTCTGCGAGCCAGATGCAGCCATCAATAGCCACATATGGCTCGCTGGCTCGCGAGCCAGAGGTTCCCGACCCCTGGCCTAGAGCCTATTGCTCATTAAGGAAAATATGGATGTGGACAGGGAAAACTCTTTGTATACCCCCGGATAACATTACAACATGGAACTCACAGGGTAAAAAGGCAGAGAGTAAGGCCAAAAAACAGATGGGGATGCAAGCTGGAGGCAGACACACAAAGTATGGGATACACCTGAAAGCAACTGGAAAGGAAAGCACAGAATCGAGATGAGTGGAAAATTCTTGTAGATGGCCTATGCCCCAGCCGGGTAAAAAGCATAGGTAAGTTAGAAGAAGTGGAAAGAACTTGTCAACTCAGCAATGTAGCTAGCCTTGGGAAGAGGATGTAAACCAGTAAAGTCTGAAATCAGCCATCTTGGAGTGGGATATAAAAAATTATATGCCTACTGGCTATCATGAAATGTACACCTGTTACACCAAATGCTTTTGAATGAATATAAATGTTAAAATCACCACCAAAATAAAACCACCACCTGTGTTAAGTGGGGATTACTCACAGTGTCTTCATGTTAGATTTTGTAAGTTCGAAGGCCCAGTTTATAGCTTTCTCATCCAGATCTTTAACACGTTTTGTTTCAAATGAGATATTAAGTCTGCCGGTGGGGAGAGAAAAAAATTGTTTAGTTACTCACCGGCTTAATTGATATAGCATATAAATTCATCTGAAAATCTTTTCACAAGTGATTCTATGTGTGTTAGTGTTTTATGTTACATACACTATATGAATAATAATCATCATTCTAACCCAGTGGTCATGCACCCTATGGCTATTGTGAAAATGTGCAGGTCTTCATTAGTTGTATAGAGTATTTCTGTAATCTGGCTGCTGTGTTAGGCAATAGATGTGTATGTCATGAAGTCCTTGACAGCGAAAGAGGTGTTGTAGTACAGTCTTATTAGGATGTTTACAAAGGGAAAAATTAATGGTGTTCTGTCCTGTAAAGTCTGGCATTGATTAAAGAATTATTTAAGCTAGAAGAAAGTAAGAATGTTATTTCCTCTATTTCCATTTCTTTTAAATCTTACCCATTTCTTTCATATTTCTTGAAAACTGGAAAAACACAGAGTGGATCTTCAAGCTGTGGGATACAGATAATAATTTTAAAAATTAATAAAGTTTTTTAATGAGGAAAAAACATTTAAGAATAACTTATCAATGAACCAGACAAAACAACATGAATGGCAGAAGAAAAATTGCATAAAATCCCTTATAACATTTTTTCTTAACACCCTTTTAACTTTTTTAGCTGTACACAATTATGAATCTTCACAATTGTTATCTTCAGCAATATGTCACAGTTGCTCTACTGTTAACAACTTGAGTGAATCATATGTTCAATACCAATACTCTTTAATAACATATTTTAAATATGTCACCTTAAAACTTATTTAAAGAAAAAATGTATACAAAAATAAGATCCACAAAAATTACAATAGACTTGACATTTTATGAATAAAGAAAACAGTGATGCTTGTAGGAATTTTATAAATACCTTATTTGCAGCTTCAACTTTGGCATACAATGCTGTAAGTTTTGCATTTTCCTGGAAATATAAAAAAAATACAAAGTTCTAGAAAATCTAGGAAACAATTGCAACTAACAGGGTAGAACATATACAATAATTTCAATAAACAAGGCACAAACGAATAAATTATGACTTAGTAATCCGTACATTTTATCTGATGTTATTTATCCTTTCAGTACTAAACCATATATTTGTTTTTACCATTTTTTCAAATATAGGGAAGAGAAATATTAAAAATTACAGAAATTTCCATCAACAAAATTTAGTTACTTTGAATACCCAGTATCATATCTCATTCTCACTCAACAGAGAATTTTTAAGCATTTTAGATACATTTTCTAGTAATTAAATATACCTTTCACTTACTTCTTTCTTTTTAAGCTTCTTTTCTTTAGCCTTGGATGATGACTTTCTCTGTAGATAAATGACATTTTAAATCTGAATTGTTGAAACATAATTAACTTTAACTTATTCTGGATCGCACCACTAAAAGCTTTAATGTAGTGAATCTGGAAACTAAACACAAGGGTTATATTAAATATAGCCTCAGGAATGCTGGTTTATTAAATTTACCAATCCAAGACCCCCCAACCAGTCACTTTATTGTTAAATTATAAATCTTAGAATTTAGTCAATCTAGATAAAAAAAAAAGATATAGTCTTATGCTTACTTTTTAAAACATTTTATTATTAAATGATATATTTTTAGACTAACGATTACTAAATACTATTTGCCATAACTCTTGATCAAGACTAAATCATAAAGGATCATTCACTTGGGTGAATGGCTCAGGGTAATTCAAATAGAGTCCTATTTTCAAGTAATATAGTTTAAGACCCTCAGTTACAAACTACACTAAATATTAATCACTATCATCTATATTAGTGGTTCTCAAACTGGGGTTTACTGTCCTCAATATTTAAAGCCAATATTCAATCACAGTTACAGGTAACTGGTACATAAAAAATGTTCATCCCACATTCTAGAAAATTATTTTTTAAATCACACAAATACTAGTACCAGACCTGGTAATATAAATTAGGGAAAAGGAATCAGTTAAAAATAATTTAAACGTTGAAGTGTGGAATCAAGAGAATAAACTTCTAAATAAGTAGACAGAAAAATCTAACTGTATGGTATGGCCCATAAATTGTTCATCAGAATAAAGTTATGATGAGAATAATACTCAGTGATGAACAAGAACTTATCATACACATATTTCATGTCTGACCAACTATTTACCTTACCGGCGGCGGCCTTACGCCATTTGTTGGGCTTCCCTCAAAAAGATGTCACTGCGCTTAGTATTAGGAGACAATATGTGCTTAGGAAACAATTTTTGTCAAAACCTGAAGCACTAACTTAAAATGTATCCACTCCCACTCAAAATATTTCTTAGTTTCACCATTTTTTTATGGATATTTGTAGGAAAGATTACTGAACTGGACTTGTAAATAACAAAGAAGAGTTTAGAGTAAGATTAATTTATTATGATCAGGTTATGAATCAATTCAGTTGAAATATTTTTGACAATGTACGGTTGATTTTTTGCACCAGGATGAAAAGGTACCCTTTTGTTTATTCTTGGATTGTTACTTTCTTTTTTTTTTAACATCATTGGCAGGCTAATTATAATATTTACATTTTTCGAAATTTGGAAAATGGGAATGGCTGTTTCAGATTTAGCGCCCCACGTCGACTTTGTTAAGGTTAGGCATAGGGATCGATTTAGGGTTTGGGTTAGGCATCGATTTAGGGTTCAGGTTAGGCATAAGGATCCATTTAAGACGTAAAAGTGCGCGCATGGAAATAACCACGGGCCGCTTTCTCTGAATTTACCATAGGAATTGTATTGACTAATGACTTTTCTGACAACTTTTGAATTTTATGTTTGGTAGAGCCTGCAATTAAGTGTGTAAAAGGTGTATTAGATGCAACTGTAAGTTTGGTTTTCATTATTTTAAAAATATTTTGTAATTTTTACACTTTACATACCACTGTGTGTAACTGTAGCACACATGTTTTAGTTGAGGGAACGGACCAATACCAAGTAATTGAGACTTCTTGCCCGAAAATACAATAAAGTAGCTTTGTCCGCCATAAATTAATGTACTGGCTGAAATTTTTTCATAAAGCCTAAATAAATTACTGTACCGGCTGAATTTATGAAGGAATTGGGGCGACCACAGGTTGTGGAGACTACTTGCTACATATCTAGAGGGATACAATAAAGTAGCTTCTAGGGGTGTGCCGGAATCCGGTTCCGCCGGATTTTGCACTATCCGGTGAAATCCAGTTCCGCCGGATTTACATGTATCCGGAACAACCGGATTCCGGAATCCGGAATATACCGGATTTCGGAATTTGCCAGATTTTGTGACTCACCGGATCATAATCTGAAATAAAAGTAATTCTCTTTCCCGAATTTCACACGATCACGATACATTAATCGATTGTTTCGAGCGTTGAGCTTGTTTAATGTTTAATATTCCGTACATACCAGAGGCTAGAGTCAGCACCGCTAATAGTGGCCAATAGTGTAGGGACTTTGATAAGAAAATTTAAACCTTTTGTAAAAATAAACCAATGGCATAGTTGAAAAGATGTAATTTTTTAAAGAATTATAACACCAAAATCATATATTTAGCTGTTGTAGTTTTAAAGTTATGAATTTTTAAAGTACGACTTGGTTTGTCATTTTTTAACATGGACTGCATCTCCACATTCTGTGATCTCATTCCACCAATCCCGTCATGCGCAATGACTATATAGTTTATATAAGGCAACGCATTCCCTGCCTTATCACTAAAATACTGTTTAGACTTAGTTTAAACTTTCAACTTTGGCACATGAATAATTAATTAAAGCTTTCCCTGACCAATGGTTTAATAGTTTTTGCACACGGCAAACTCTTATGAATGAAACTCTGAGGTAGTACTACGATACAGTTATGCAAGTGGCTGTGAATGGTTGCCAATGACAACGTGTTGCACACGGTAAATTCTGATCATTTATAATATGGATTCTACCGGGTTGTTAAAGCTCAAATTAAAACATTCCAGTTTAAATGTCTTTAAATGCATTCTGAAACACAAGTTATCAATTATTTTGATGTAAATAGTGATAATAAATTAATATTTCCTAAGTATCGTCAACTTCCGCCATTAAAAAGGGGGGCGTGGCCAACCCCATGGCGAAATTAGGTTGAGCGAGCTGCATAACCTGCTGCGAACGCGTAGAAACATGGCGTCTCTCGTAAGACACTTATCCAAATGGAACGGAACTCAAATATATATCGAAAGTACTAATTTAATAATAAATAGACACACACATCGGAAAATTAAAAACTCGGATTTTTTGGCGCCGATTGCGAATTCCCATACACAAAAAGTAGTAGTCCACCTTGACTTACCGAAGTATCTACCAATAGTACCAAAATCCGGAATCCGGGAGAAACCGGAATCCGGATTATTCCGGAATCCGGATCCGAATCCGGCGGATTTCGCATAAGAAAATCCGGATCCGGTTGGAAAAAACGGATCCGGCACACCCCTAGTAGCTTCCTTAGCCACAAAAATGTGCTGGCTGAAATTATGTCATTAAATTTTAACGTTTTGTTCCTTTTTTCGAATTTCTATTGTAAATAGCTAGACCAGCATATTCTCTCCCTTTCCCCTCCCTATTATAGCAGACGCATGTTTGCACCACTTTTTTACACGGACGCCATGCCATATTGGTTGGTATGACACATGCCATTGTGGCAAACAAGATGGCGGCTGTGGTAGAATAGGGGGAAAAGCCACACTTTCAATTACCAACATTTCTTATACTTCTTGCCATTAGTGATTGCTCTTCAAAGACAATCACTCTATGCAAAGCCGTCCTCGTGTGGGCTCTACAAACCCTGCAGTCTGCAGGGAGACTTGAATTTTAAAAGGGCCAAAGTTGTGATTGTGATTAAATTTATGCTGTGAATGCAAGTAAATCAAGTTAAGTAAGGGCAAGGGGCACACAACCAATAGTGGCAGGGGGCCCCCAAGTCACGCGACAGCTCTGCTCAATGACAGTGAGTAATCTAATGAAATTCATTCAGTATTCTGAGTATTCAGCAGTGAGTACATGAGTACAGTAAGTAGGGATATCACTTGATATTCGCACAACCCTGATTGACCACATTCTTGCCGGATTCTTCTCATTCATTTCAAGTCATTCGCCACAAACATTTCATTTTCTTCAATGAATTAGAGCGATTCAAAAATGTGTATTGTTTCATTTTTTAACATTATTTTATTAATAATATTAAGTGCTGCAATCGATTTAATTTATAAAGTTTACCCCCATTTCAAGATAATCAGCAGTCACTTAATATTGTGAAGTTGATATGCGGTCCGCGCGCTTCGTTTTCACTCTGTGTTTATGTACTGAATTCTTACTTCCGGCCTGGTACCGGTGAATAACAACAATAAATCCTATAGTAATTTGTGTTGAAGTATTAAAAGCTATTTTAAGAATCAAATAGTAAAAACAAGCTAAGTTGAAGCTTGAATCAAAAGACGGGACAGTAAGATGTGAATGTTTTCTTCGATATGTCCTGATAGCTGAAAAAGGCTCTAAGCCGAAACGTTCACATCTTATGGTCCTGTCTTTTGATTCAAGCTTCAAAATACCTTGTAACTTGTTATACTATTTATTTTTATATTTCATTCACATAGCTTGAATGCTGTCCTTCAATTACAATCTATTTAAGAATCAATGAGGTTACTTATTTTTAAAAATCTATTTTTTTAATATTACATTTTAACAAATGTGATTAAATCGAGTGCATTTTATAACCATGATGAACTTGTTAAATACTATCAACGTATTTTAATATCAATATAACCTAATGGCGTACCTAGGAGGTGCGAAGACGGCGTCTAACCCGGGTGGTATTTTATGGTGTTAATATATCACATACAAATACATAATTCTCTATGTAGCAATGTAACTAACGCTACCAGACGCGATGAGTTCACTAAATTAGTGCGCTAAGTAAGATTCTTAAAAATACCTCTAGTGCGTTTGGTGCGTAATTTATTTATTATTTTATTTTAATTTTTTATTTTATTTCTTTTATTTATTTTTTTGTGTGTGTTAAATGTAAAAAAAAAAAATGGTTGGACATTCAACTATTGATATAGTTCAGGGTCTTTGGTGTACCGAGGGAGTGTGTGGGGGGGGGGGTAACACTAATTGGGAATCTTATAAAGTGCATTACTGAAATGAGTGTTTTGTCATAACTTTAGTAGATAGGAAGTTCACGCATTGCGGCCGCCATAGTTTGGCGGACTATAGCCTATAGCTAGCTATATAATAATGATGTAATGTGTGTTAGGGGCAGACTTTTTGGATTTAACCCAGAATTGCATTAACTCAGTATACAGTATACACCAATGATATAGGCTATAAATTAGGCCTAACCATATGTAATGCCTAAGGCTTTTCATAACACTTTTTGTGATCAGAATAAAAAAGCCGATAATCATTAAACTGATTTGATTATGGGTCCTCAGCTTAAGATTGGAGCTACTAAGAATTTCCCTTTTGATCATTAGGAATAAATGTTACCACGGGGATGGAACAAGGGGGGCCAAAAAAGTAGATACAGTTGAGGACATGTTAAAAAAAACAACATATTGAAGGTTTCTTGAATTATTTGAATTATCAGAAAAATCATATAAGTAGTGATATTAATCATTTTCAGATGAATGTTCGTGTTAGAGCTAAATTAGGACACCATGCAACTAACAAAACGTGAGAAATGTGTTATTCATAACAGACCATTGTTTATTGACTAAGACTAAATGCAACCAGGGCGAACTCCCAAAACTGCGCCCCTACACACATCTTTTGAATAATGTTAGTAATTAAGTGTCTCCCAGAGTGGTGTCCTTCTTCCTCCCTAGGTACGCCACTGCATCTAATACCCTTTAGTGCATATATGATTGAATGAATTTTTTACATTTTTTATCCCAAAAAAATATATGAATGATACCACGTCCAGGTTAGTAAATCTTGGATCAACCGCGAACGAAGAGTAGCTAATTTAACTTGGGGAGAAAATATAAAATATCATCGTCATGGAGATCTTTTAGTCACGTGAATTATGTTATCCAATTAAAAGAAAGCGTTGCGCTTCCAATATGGCGGTCACTTAGTTAAATGTTTTCTTAAGAAAAGGAGTTAAGTTAAGTACAATGATTGTGAAATGTTCACTGGAGCCATGAGCAATTTAAATGTTGATGCCAAACACATTCTTATCCCAATATCAGCTATATCCCCCTCAACTGATATTGCTCCAAGTGAGAATGATCAAGAATCTCCTAGACCCCAATTATCTTTCAAAAGCAATGATGAAGAAATATTGAGAGAAGTGGTAAGCCACTCTAATTAGACTTTAACTTTAATTCATACGCTTTTTCTACTTACTTAGTTAACTAAATACTTTTAAGAAATAAGACTTAAGTAATCTAATTAATTTATTAGACCAGTGGTTTCCAACCTTTTTGACTCGAGGAGCTCTTTTAAGAAATAATTTCTACAGGGAGCCACTTGGTTGCTTTGGGCTTTGGGTCTAGTCTCTAGTCTATGAATACTATGATGCACAATGCCAATATAACGTCATGTCTAAACTAACAATCAAACAAGTTAATTGATTAGGTCTAAACTAACAACCAAACAAGTTAATTGATTAGGGTTATGTAAGAGTATGAGTTTCCCAGGAGCAGCGAAGGACCCCCTAAGTAGGTACTTTGACATACATTTTTTATTTTGTCTGATTGCCAAAAATGATACATCATTTTAAAGTTATAGCGTTTATTTTTAATTGAAGTGGAGTTAGAATTTTTTTTTTTCATTTTTAAAAGCCTCTTATTTATCTTTGACCAACTTTCCAAACTTCTGCCTTATTTGGCCCACAACTTTTTTATTTTAAAAGATAATGTTAACAAATTTTCATGAGACATTGTCAATGCAATGTAAGCTTCAACACAATTAACAACACATTTTTTACATAACATCAAGAATTTTTACTTTTTATAATTTTATTTGAGGATAGTTCAAAAGATCATGAAAAGATGAACTAGTAAATGATTAGGCCTACTTATAGAGGGAACAAAAATATATCTTTATTGTATTTTAATTAAAAATGCTTTAGTTAAATTTTAAATCATTGCTAATATTTATAAAAGGTAAGTCAAAGTCATTTTTTAAAAATAAAATTGAATTCATGAAATTATAAGAAAATAATAATAAATCCCCCATACCACTAATATTAAATTAGAGTAAGAGGATACTAGTATGTGATTGAAAGATAGTGAGGATGCTCTGCCTGTCATTTTCTGGATAGACTGCTCTCCAGACTTCTATGTCTTGTTGATGAATCCCACATTCTCTCCTTCATAAAATTTGTCATTGCCATCTTCATACAAATATGCCTCATTGGCTTTGAAAGAAATTCTAAGTTCTGCAATTAAAATTTTCTTTTGTACCTAAAATCAAATCATAATACTGAATCTATACAATTTCTACTTTCTTTTTAATATTATTCAAGTTATGTGTTAATCAAAATATATTTCGTTTTGTTTATTTTATTAGAAATCTTAAATATTTGTCGATGTAAACTGTTTTCCTATGCCTATGTCCTAATAAAAATACAATTACTATGATGATGTTGAGTCTTATCTAATTGATTTGAAGTCTTTTAATAAAAATTTTATGGGCTAATTTCTATATTATTTTACTTTTAACAAGTCATAGAATGACGCAATTTCCACTAAAATATACTTAGTAGTGTATCAGTATGCTTAGCCTACATTATTCAAAATTATTGGAATAATAATTAATAAATAGTATTATTAATAGTTATAGTGCTAAAATCTTTTTTTTTAATTGTGTTATTATTCAATTAATTATAATTAATTAAAATACTGGTAATAACTATGCCTATAAATATTATTGTATAAATCAAGGCACAAAACAAGTCCGAAATTCATCAGACTACACAAACTAACAATATGAAATACGCTTCAATTTATTGGGTTTTTATTAATTTATAATAATATTGTAAAACCGTTTTCCATTTATTAACTGATTAGTGTTCCACAATTTTTAAAGAAAAGCAAAAATGAAAATATCGTTAAGTTAAATTGATAAGAAGAGCCATTTCTGACAACCCAATTAAAAAAAAAAAAAAAAAAAAATTTTGTGAGTGAAAAAAGGGAGGTTGGGGTGTGACTCGGGTGACTACAGATATTTTAATTTTCGTACATCTTCCAGTCTGAAATGCATAACTTTTTTTCGCAATTGCTATTGTTAACAAAATAAAGTTATTCCTATTTGTAAATGAATGGTGCAGTATTGTTATAAACTGCTCTATTTGAATTTTAAAATAGAAAATGTTAAGCCATTAAGTACATACCAATATATCAGAGTAAATGCGTTGCCAGTCACAAAAGCCACCATGCTGAAAAAATGATATCACCATGTTTGTAAAAATATACACTCTATGTCACTGTTGACAAATTAATATATTATTAGAAAAGTGATGTAAAATGCAAAAAAGCTAGTTCATTGTCGAGTCGAATGCTATATTCACACTAAAGTTTTTACGTCATTTTTCTACATGCCCAGAACACTTGCGTAAGTGAGTATCATAGTACCTACCCTTATAAGTGATTTTGGAACCCTCGAAGGGTACTGTGGAACACTGGTTGGGAACCACTGTAGTAGACCATTTACTTGAAAAATAAGACGTTAAGTTAAGACCATTAGTAATACTAATTAGTGAGTTAAATACTACTATTAGCAGTCTATAAAATATTTATTTTTTAATGAACAAATGCATTATATAGAAATTAAACTACTTTAAAATTCATCATGACATAAAAAATGTGTTAATATTAAAACTAAGGCCTATGTGACATAGCCCTATTTATTATTATTTATAATTATAATGTAATTATGTGTGGATTTGTATGTCTACATTAAAGTGTTATTTTATCATGTGTCAATTTAGTTTATTATATTCTGCTATTATAATAATGGATAAGTCAGTAAACAAATCACAAGTTAATTCAATAACATAATACTTTTCTTGTGGATAAAATGTTTGGGTTCTTCCACCGTAATTAGGCTTAACATGAAAAAAATATGTTTCATCAATTGTGACACAATTACTATTGCTATCCATTTCAGTGTTTAAATAATGGCATCAACTATAAAAAGCTATATTTGGAAGGCCCTGAGACAACAGTTTTGGAAATGTTTTTTTCTGGCTACCCTCGACTTATTGGAATGCATCATTTTCCTAACTTGACAACACTCACTGTTATTGGTCAGAGTGTGTCACGGCTAGAGGGCTTAACTGATTTACCTTATTTAGATGAGTTGTGGGTGGCAGAATGTCAGCTAACGGTTAGTATCCTTGAAGAAAAAAACGAATATTTGTTGTATCATATTTTAAAATAATGAAGAGAAATATTAGTATTTTCCATATTTTATTTGATTAAAAAGATTCCATGAACAGTCTTCAACACTAAATTTTGAAGATAAAAAAATAAAAATTGAGGAAAGAATGAATTACATTAAAATTTAATATACCAAAAAATATTTAATTGTATACCAAAATAATTGGTGACAAAAGTTTTTTTTTTAATGATCTAACATTACTATATTTTAGAAAAGAAATACATTTTTTTAAAGGGAATTCTAGTGTGACAATTTAATTTTAATGTGTTTATCTTTTTCTTCAGAAAATTGAAGGCTTAGAGAAATGCAAGTCCTTAATAAAATTATATCTTTATGGTAACAAAATCTCAGTCATTGAAAATATAAACCATCTCCTCAATTTGAAAACCCTTTGGCTGAACAATAATCTCATAAGAAACATAGAGGTCAGTGATACAATAGAATATATAAAAATGCAAGAAAAATAAGCTTTTAATAATTGAAATTCACATGTTGATGATATTTTAAAGCTAATATTTTGAAAAAATGTGATAGCTATTTCACGTTTTTTTTAAAATTCTCTTCATTGCTTACTTTTAGAAATTGAATTAACAACTTTATTTTTTTTTTTTTAACACAAAATAAACTTTCAATCTTTTGTACACCATATATTCCTTTCAGAATTTAAACACATTAGGAAAACTGAAAGAGCTCAATATCGCTGAGAATTTGATAGAGAAAATAGGTAAGTTACATTATTGTAATGCTAAAAATAAATCTATAGAATTCCCTTAGTGAGCATCTAACACCTCAAAACTCAGAACATTGCATTTTGTATTTTAATTACTGCATGGAGTGTCCATTGTACAATTGTTTTATTCTTCACCTCAGGCAATGCTTTGGTATATAACATTCAGTTAGAGGAATTGAATATGTCAGGAAACCCATTGTGGTCACTGAGGGTATGTATGAAAAGGAAATAATTAGTGCCTGCTGCACAATGAGTGTATGTTATTATTCAGTACTGTGTAACATTACATTAACTGACTGAATAAATCTCATATTGCCATTAATAAAATCAACTTTTGAGACAAAGACGGATTTGAGAATAACATCCTATTTAATAAATACAAGTTTTGTCATTAACTATAAACCTGTGAAATTAATGGCAAACATGTTTTATTTATATTAGCAAGTTTTTGTTTTGTTTTGTTCTTGTTTCTTTTTTCAGGATTTAACATGTCTAGTCAAGCTACCCAAACTGACACGACTGAGTCTTAAAGATCCTCTGTATCATTCCTGTCCTGCTAGTCAGCTATGCAACTACTCGACTCATGTCTTGTATCACCTTCCCAAACTGACCTCACTAGATACCATAGACATTACCTCCAAGCAGTTAGCTGATCTGGCTGAGGTAAGTTCAGAAAATGAAGTGATGAAGATTTCTCCAATAGAGAATGTATAAATTGTATAAAATATCTGTATGACCAAAATTGTTTTACTCATTGATGTGGAAACTTTGTCATGGCTGGTTCCAAGCCTTGGTGCAAAAAGAGAAGGGTTGGCTGGAGACCAGCTACCTGACCTGTAAAAAAAAAAAAATTGCAGAAACATCAACAAGAAGGAAAAAAATTCATCCATGATAACAGAGTGCTCTTCTTCCCCAAGAAGAATTATGAAGCCTTGCAACTAAAGCCAGGTTATTCTGGAAGCCTCAAAGCCCAAGACAGTCCTTTCAAAGGCCGTAAGCATAGGCTCAGGGAATGTTTAGAATCATATACCAATCAGGAAAATCAGCACAAGTGAGAACATACAAGCTCACTCTGCTAAGCCTTTGTGAAACAAGATTGACACAAGCTGGACAGTTAACATTGGCCTCAGGAGAAACACTAACACACTCAGGGCATGAGGAGGAAAATGCTCCACAGACACAGGAGTTGCTGTCATGATGATACGGATGGCACAAAGGGCATTGATAGGGTGGGAAGCTCATGGTCCAAGAATTATTACAACAACATTCCGAACCAAGAAGAAGAAAATAAATATGAATGCCTCCAACAATAGTAAGTAAGATGAAAAAGAAGCTTTATTCAATAGACTACAAGCTATTAGTACAAACAGACTTGTTTACTCTTACAATTTTGGTGTACAATGTTACAATTTTGAGATGTCTTTTATGATTGTACCGGTTTTTAATCCGGTCATAATTCCCATTTTGTTTACTTAACATCATAAATATATTAAAAATTTTAATTTTGTTGTTTTTTTCCAGTGGGAAATGAAGTCAAATGTTTATTGTACATATGCAGGGTGTAAAAAATTTTTTATGTATGACATACTATATAGATTGTGGACAGTTGTTTTTTTTAAATAACGCCCTAATTTGTTAATTAATTCTTATTTTAATCAATTTTATTTTAATCTGATCTGACTTCAAGTTTGAACCACATTAAATTTCACTAGTAACTTTTTTTTAGCAATGACAGACTGTGATAATGTGATCTGCACATTCACCTAAATATTAATTGATATCTATAATATAGCAGATACACAACTGCAAAAAAAAGTTACAGCAGATTGCAATATAAACATCAGTCATGTACTTTTAGAAGTTACTCTTTTTGATGGCAGCTTAAATCAAACCCACTAGACACGAGATGCAAGTAGTTATTGTATACTTTATATGTACTATATGTTTATTTATTTACTATTAATATTGGGGTACCGGTAGCCTATTGTATGATTTTGAGATGATATTGTACAATTTTAGGAGTTCAAGGGTAAACAGGTCTGTTGAAAAATTTCCAGGTAGATATCTAAAAATTATAACGGGAGATCTAAATGCTAAGATTGGGAAAGAAAACAGAGGTTATGAAGAAATTATGGGGTTCCATGGTTTAGGAGAGAGAGAAATGAAAATGGCAAAAGACTGGAAGACTTCTATGGGTCAAATGAGTTCATTAGTGGGGGCAGCATATTCCAGCATAAGAATATCCACAAAGTAACTTGGGTGTCCCCTGATAACAGAATTGAAAACCAAATTAACCATATATGCATTAGCAAAAAATTCAGAAGGTCTGTACAAGATGTATAAGCTAAAAGAGGAGCTGGTGTTGCATCTGATCACCATCTAGTTTGGGCAAGGCTCAAGCTAAAAGTGCAGAAAAACTGGGAAGAGTCAGCTGCAAGAAGACTAAAACACAACACAGCACTCTTGGCTAATGAGCAAAAATGACAGGAAATCAGTGTTACTTTGAGAAATAACTTCCACATAATGGAAGACCAAACAGATGATGAAAAAATAGAACTTCAATGGCGAAACATAAAAGCGTCTGTAACATCCATTTGCACCGAAGTATTAGGGCTGGTGAAGCAAAAACACAAATATTGGCTCTCACACAATACATTGCAAAAATAAAAGTGAGGAAAGAAGTGAAGTCTGCACTAAACAAGAGCAGCACAAAAGCAGAGGAGAAATAGAAAGAACCCAGATAATGAAGACATAGCCCAGGCTATCAAGCAGCCTAACATTGGGAACACATCTGGACCTGATAACTTCATAGCAAAGATGATGAGAGCAGAATTAGATATAATAGTCAAGCTGCACCCTCTATTTGAAAAGATGTGGGAACAAGATGATTGGAAAGAAGGATACCCCATCACTATACCAAAGAAATGGGATATTAGCAGCTGTGCAAACTATAGAGGAATTACACGGCTGTCCGTACCAGGAAAGGTCATTAACAGAATTATTATGAATAGCATGAAGGACCAGGTCAATGGACAGCGGCAATATCAACAGACTGACTTCTGCGAAAACAGATCATGCACAGAGAAATTTGCAACACTATGCATCATTGTAGAACAATCCATTGAATGGAACTCCCCCATTCCAAATAGCATTTATAGTCAAAATGGCCCCGGATACGCAGGTCCCTATTAGACCAATGCTATTCGGATGTCATTTGTGGTAGTTTATTTTAGTTAAACTGAAGAAGTGGGTTTACAAACATATAGTCCATTCAATTATCTTTCATTTGATACCTCATTTTGTCTTATAAACCCAACAATAATATTTTGAATAGTTTTTTAATCCCAACCTCTCACTTCTGGTACCCGGGTGCGAATAGTTCCTGCCTAATTTTATATCAGATTCTGTTAAAAATTATTGCAAAATAGGTATTTCAAGAGTTTCTCTAAGCACAGTTACAATATGTTAGTAAAAAATTTCAACTTTTCTTATTTTTAAACTAGTCCTAGTAAAGCTTAGTTTTAATGAGCCGTATTTTGATAAATATCCTTTGCTCTCTTAAAGAAAGATGTAGTTAAAATATCAAACTATTCAGTTCCCAATGCTTTAACTTTATTATTGTAGGGTACTGTCTATGCTTTAACTTTATTATTGTAGGGTACTGTCAACAAGAAGAAAATGTTTTATAACATGAGAGCTAAGACTATCAGACGGAACATGGCCGATCTTCTTCGCCGGCTGGAAATGACAAGCAAAGAACTGCTTGAACTGCCACACAGCAAAATAAAGATCCTTAATTTTGTCATCAAAGAGGTGAGCCCACATGGCCACATGCACAAATACCCACACAGCCACATGCCCAAATGGTTTATTTATGCTGTAATTATTTTTCACGATTTTACAAGTTGCAAATTATTAGGTTTTTCTGCTGACTTTACTGAATTATACATTTGAACCAATTAATGACATGGGAAAACCTATATTCATTTCAGATGGAAAGGGAGAAAGAACTAGGAAATTTTTCTGATGCAGGGGACAGTGATCCGGAGTCTGAGAGAGATGTCAATGTAAGAATATAAAGAATGGATGGAAAACTAGGGCATTAAACAATTGGATGAATAATTAAAGTGAGACTAGTGACTTTTGGCATGTGTATTTACCAGTTATCAGGGAAATAGTATCTCAAGACCCACATGCAGTGCTTCATCGCTAGCGATTTATTGGAATCCTGTTTACTGGAAATCTATGACTCTTTAATCTTCATTTACTGATCATTTATGAGCCTCTAGGTGTCCCTACAAGGTTTAAGTGAGTCTTGATTTCAGACAGTACTTGAGTTCATTTGCTAGTCATTCATATGGGTGACCTAGGCCCTAGCTTAACACTCAACTTATTGCATTTGTTATTTATTTTGTTAAATAAAAATAAAAAACTTTAGTTGTAATTGTGCTTGTCAGCTGATATTTAACAATTATTTTCTTTTTTTGTTTGGAAAGATTTTGTTACGTTTCAAATTTTAACACCAGCTGAAGAATAATAATTTAAATTCATATATAAAATTGAAGTTAAAAAAATTTTAAAAATTTAATGAGGATTTAAAAAAGCTTTCTTTGCATAACATTTTTTCTGCATTTTGTTCTCTTTTTCATGGAAGAAATAGCAATAGGGAAATAAAAGTTATGATAAAAAAATGAAATCTCATAAATATGATGGATTACTTTTTTCTCCTGCAGTATTGTAAAGGGAAGGTTAAGTCACCTTTTAAAGTAAAACTACAAACCTTGAAACAAAAAAGGAAGAGATGGGAAACAAAAGCAAATGAGTGAGTATATGATAATGAAAAATTACCCCTTAGCCTTTTGGAAAGTACATTCAATGTGAATAGTTACAAAGTTATGCAAAATTTATATTAAGACATGAAGAAACAAATGTAATAAAAATGCAAAGTAATTAGCAATATATAATTGAGTCACAATGAGCCATTGGTATAGGAAAGAATTACTAATAATGCTACATAAATTTTGTGTGTATTGTTAGCTGTTTGTTCAAATGGGAAGTAATTTGATGTAAAAGGGGAAGTCAACCATTCTTTAATTATTTATTTTGTGTGGGTTTATGTATTCAGGATTAGAGCATCAGTTACTCATGTATGTTAGTGTGTAGAAAATATAACCAACAAAAGATAAAGAAATCTAGAAGATAAAATGTACATACATATCTTAGTCTAAGTAATTTACAAAATATTCTTTAGAATGCTGAGAAAAAATTGGCTTAGCATTGTGTAAAAATGCATTTATTGAATAAAATTCTGAAGTAATTCATGTACGTGGGAATACTTAATTTAAATTTAAATTTTTTTTTTTTTTCATTTCAAGAATTGAGAGTTACGCTAAATTATCTGAAACTCGAGTCCATCAGATGGCTGAGATGATGGTAAAAAGATTATTGGTTGAGCTTGAGACAGGTGGAAATGTCCGCTTTGAGGATGGGCTGCCTGTTGATCCTTGGTAGGAAAATAATTTTTGCATTTAATAACCTTTAATAGAATTTTATTACGTCATTAAAACAGAAAAAAAACAGATATTTAGGAAATAGATTGTATTACATGTGCATTAATATTGTATTTGAGTCATTGTTATGGTGGCTTTAAAAACACAATTTCTTTTGTTGCATTTGGATTCATACTCATAGCATTTAGTCATAGAGTCAGAGTCTTAACTTCTTCTCATAATCATAGGAGTTGGGTCTTTTTAAGAATTAGGTTCAGCTTTATAGCAATAAAGCTTGTTACATAGAACTTGGTCAGAATTCATGAAATCCATTCCTACATCCCCGAAATAGTAAATATGAGGCAGTTGAACCAGGGAAATAAAAACAAATGTTTTGACAGGTTCTCCTCCTGCCATGACCTGGTTTTGTCTCGGTTTTGCGCTTATGACTATCGAGACCTGGGAGTTACCGGCATCAAGATCCACCGCATCATCCGTATTCACAACCGTATGCTGCGGACACAGTTTGACAGGTCAATTGTTGCCTTGACAGAGACCAACAAGGGAGAGTATTATCCCAGTGCCAAGTAAGAATTATACTCATTCATATAAAAATCAAGCTTAAAAACCAGATCCCATTTTAGAACTTTAATTAAAATGAATTAGGATAAGAAGTGTTTTCAGCTTTAAGTTATTTTTAGCAACCCATTTTTTATTTAAGAATTCAAATATAATGCAGGATTTTTTTTCAATGGGAATTTTTTAACAGAGAACTTAAACACAAAGATAAAATTTTAACTCCAAGAATTAGGTGGGTTTTTTTAAATTGAGAATTTAAAGATTTCTACACCAAGATTATCAGGTGTGTTGTTTTTAACTATCATATTTTTCTGAATTTATGATTCTAAAGAAAAGTATTTCAAATGCATTTACTTTATTTCAACATAACTTTAATTTTAAATTTTTATTCTTCAATTGTTTGCTTTTTTCATGCATAAAAATTGTGAATAATACTTCATTTTTATTGTTATGTACATTTTACATTAAAGAAAAATGTGTCATTCATTTTTTAAATTTTTTTTTTTTTTTTTCTTTCTCATGGTTATTTGGTTTTCTTTTTTTTTTTTTTTGCTCTTCATTGCCAGTTTTTTAAAAAAAATTTATTTTAAATTTTACAAAAATTTAAATTTTTATTTTTTAATTTTTTTCTTTTTTTATGAATAAAAATTTTTAATAATACTTTATTTTTATTTTTTTTTATTTTTTTTATTAAATAAAAATGTTTTATTCATTTTTTAAATTTTTTTTTTTTTTTTTCTTTCTCATGGTTATTTGGTTTGCTTTATATTTTTTATGGCTCTTCATTGCCAGTTATTAAAAAAAAATTTATTGTAAATTTGACAAAATAAGAACTAATTATAACAAATTCAAAGCTTGTGGGTGATACAAATTGGTTTTGGAAATAGCTGAAATGATGCCACCTTGTATTCTGTTGTCGTCTTCAGAATTATCAGTTTGAAATTTATTTAATAGGATTTATATATTCTTAAATTCAGGAATACAGCCTACAAAAAGTCTTTGGAATATCTATTTTGGATGTCTGATCCAGAAATGGAAGGGGGAGTCAGTGAAGCTTTCCGTATTCCAGAGGAAGGGTTTATGGATGCTGAGACTTATAAGGTAAGGGATCGTTCGCAAATTATGTCACGCTAAAAATGACCTTTTAAGACCTCCCCCGTCTCAAAGTGTCACAAATTCTTTTAAACCCCCCCCCCCCCACCCCATGTGTCACGTCACACGTAAAAAAAATTTAAAAATACATAAAATTTGCATAACTAAACTAAGATTGTATTTTATTCTTTAACATTTTCCCATAATGGATTAAGATGTAGTATTATTAGAAAACTGTGACGTAAAGCGTAAAACAACGAAGTACTCCCCAAGCCGAATGTAAAATGGCCACAACAATTTTGATACATTTTTCGATATGGGCAGAAGGTGTGTGCAACTGAGGTTCACGGTACCTATAATACTTGAGACAATTTTGACCTCAAAATTAATGTTTTCAAAATTAATTAAAAAATAATTTTTCAAAATTAGAAAAAAAAATAAAAAATTGTGGCATCACAAATTATTTACCCTCCCCCTGTCACGAAGTGTCACAAATTCTTAACCCCCCTCCCCTGAGCGTGACATAATTTTCTAACGATCCCTAATATTTTATATTAGATCAAATTTAATAGTCCTCATGAAATGAAATTTAAGATTTCCAATGACATAAAAAATAATTTCTTAAAAAATAACTTAATTATTTATCCATTACCCTGTATGTCTATATCTAATAGAAACTTGGACGAGATGGTGCCATTCCTTTGAGTAACAGTATTAGTCTGGCTGATAGACGCAGGATTTCCTATTGCCTTAAGATTAAGAAAGAACAAGATATAGATAGCTGCCCATTCAGATATGGTTAGCATATTTAACTTTATCAGACCTTCACACACTGAAATTTGATTTTTTAAGTGTGCACTTAGATTGAACTCAATGAAAATTATGACCGTCATTAACAAATTTTATTATTTTTAAATTTGTCACCAATGTACTTAACCAGTCAGATTGTTCATTTAGTCATTATCAGTTATTTAATTGGCATGATAAATCTTTGAACCTGGTCAGAAATATTTTGGCTCTGAGTGGCATTGAGTTGGGTACAGACATTAGTGGAGGGACTTGAACTTAAAAGCCCTGTTGTGCAAAAATAACATACAACAGCACCTCCAACAGAAAATCTATGACAGAATGCAAAGATTTCAGAAGTTGCCAAAATTAATGAGTATTGTGAAATTCAATAATAAATAACTGCAATCATCCTTTTGTTTTTATGTTCACTTTGAACATAAAATAGTTTTGTTAGTTATAGAATTTTTTTTGCTGCACATTAAGAGATAATATTAATAAATTAAACTTACTTATTTTTCCTTTTTTTTCCTTTTTTTTTTCTCCTTTTTTTTGTGTGTGTGGGGGAAGGGGACGACACACAACAGTTAAACAAATTGTAAAAGCAAATATAAAGGTCCCACTCCCCTTTACTTTAGCGTCACTTGATTATGTCATACATATATATATAATATCACACACACACACACACACACATATATATATATAATATGTCACTATCCTGTCTTTTTAAAAATTATTAAGATATCAGCTTATTATGATTTATTTTTGTTTTGTCATCGGAATTGTTGTTTTATAAGACTAAAGTTTTCTATTTTTACAGGACAGCTGATAGTGGCCAAAACTCATCTTGGGAAAAGTGTTGTAGCACTAGACGAAAAACAGTAAGTTTTAAATGTATGGATGTATCCTTGGGTTAATTTATGATACAACAGACATTGGTTCCCAACCGGTTCTTTACTGAGCTTCATGTGCACTTCTCGGGGGCTCCGTGGTTGCACCATTAAATAAAATAAAAACAATTAATTAGTAGCACATGGGTTAGGCTTAAAGGGTTCCTCCATAGAAATTGATTAAAAAAAATTGGAATCAGAAAGGTTGGGAACAACTACATTAAACTAATTATTGAATTAAAAACCACATATACAGCAAAAGTGTGAAAATAAGTAAATGAACAGTTTGATAAGAAATATATTAATTTTCAGAAGTTCTTATATCTGTTAGTGTATGAGTACGAGACTTCAGCAGCTAATCAAATAGACTGATACCAATATATTCTTTTAAAATCTTTATTGTATTAAACATACAATACCTCAAGTCCTTTAACTTGTCTACTTCAATATTCAATGCTTAACGTAAACTCACAACACAAACCTGGCTATAAATAAATTAAAGTGGCTGAAAATAAAAGGTTACTAAATTATCATTCTAGTTATTCTTTATCTTAATTTCACTAGAGAAATACTTTTCCATCAATTCTGATGATTTATACCACTTTTAGTTGGATGACCACGAATTAAAAGATGTTATATATTTTAATTTTGTCATGATTCAGGATTTCAAAGGCAAGTTATCCTAAAATGGATTCTGTATTTAAGCCAAGGAAGAAATGTGTTCCTAAAGAAAGTAAGATTTTATTTTACTTTTGAAATGTAAAAACTGAAGTGGGGCAGCTGAATAAGGAAGATAAATAAATAAGTAAGATATCCATCAAGTAGGATAAAAATATTTTTTGTTTGACCCTGTAGAAATTGAGTTCTATAGATATAAATAATTATTTTTAAATTTACCACATACACAACCCCTCCAGAGAAGGTTGAGGATGATGGCTGTGAGTGCAGTGCCCGGCAGTGTGAGTGGTACATCTTCAATAGCAACCTGGTCCTACCAGAGTACATCATTGACTTTGAATACATTACTAAGGTTTGTTAGATTTTTTAACTTTCCTACATGAAAGTTGGGGTAGGTTTTTTTTAAAATCTGAGAAAAATGGTATGGCAGTTAAGTAAACTATTTATTTAGAATACTAAAAAAAAAAAATAAGAAAAAAATATCTAAGAAATTTAAACCTTCAGTTAACACATAATTAAAATATGAAATTTTAACTTAATTGATTCAGTTAATTAATTTCTTTATTCTTTACAAATTTTATTAGTTTTATTTAATTGGCATGATACATTTTTTAACATGGTCAGAAATATGTGGCATATTTTTTTAAATCTTTTGATTATTGTTACAGCTCAAGTCCCATTGTCCTTTTCAACATCTTAATGAAGACTTACTTAGTGAGAAACCTCGCAAATATAAAACACCTATTGTGCGACAAGCCGACAATGAGAGTGATAGTGACAGTGAAGCTATTAAAATGGAGCCTGAACTCAAATCAAGAACTCGGTAAAGTGGATATTTTTTACAGCTGATTTGATTTTAAGTTTGCTATTATTTCACTAGAGAAATACTTTAAATTGTTTTAATTGTTATAATTGTAACAAGGTGTCTTGGTTTAAATATGCATTTATTTATGTTCTGAAAATGAATAAGTACAATGTAATCAAAAAACATTTCCATTTATTTGGATCAATAAATAATCTTATCTTATCTTATTTGTAGTTTATGGGAAATCTAGAAATAAATTACCAGGGGTAGTGGGGGGGAGAAGAAAACTTAGCACAGCAGTAGGAAGTACCATGTAATAGTACGTCAAAGAAGCCTTCAGCAACCTGTTCTAAAATATAAACTCTAAATACCTGTTAATAAGCTTCAGCTTTCTAGAACATTTTTTTTAAAACCTACCATCAATTTCAATTAATTCAAGCTTGATGATAAATAATCTCTCTCTGGGGATGTTTGATTAATGATGGTCTCAATTATCCATAACAGAACTTTCCACTGTAATGTGTATTCAGATTTCTAAAAGCAATTTGTTGGTCTTGTAACATCTTTTATATCTTAATAACAATGGATAAACTAAAAATTTATGAATGTGCAAGTGAATCATTTGCTTCATCTTCTTCAGAATTCTGTATTTAAATGATGAAATCCTTAAGGAAACCTGCCAAATGGACAATCTGAATAAAATAACGGAACTGAATCTTCATGGAAACAGTCTCACCAAGCTACGGCCATTGCAAGTCCTTATTAATCTGAAACGGCTGATTATAAGTTTTAATGAGTTGATCAGGCTTGATGATCTTGCCAACATGGCAAGTTTTTAATTGAGTATTATGATTATTTTTTTAAAAATTAAACATTGTGTGGTTGTGTTGAAAGGATCACAAAAGTTAATATTATTTGTTTTATCCTTCCTTTTAGCAAAGGCTTTATAAATGTGTTTATTTCTTTTATGCCAGTTGGGCAGCTAGAATTTATGGAAGAATTAGAATCTTATGCATGCAATACCTACCTGCACTTGGGTATTATGTTAACTGGTGAAATTCTCAGAGCGTTGTTGAATAGGGGACATAACAAGAAGAAAGGATATAGCAGGAGTATATCTTACAAAAAGTTGATCTATTGTATAAAAAATATTATTTTTTTTTTAACTGAAGGATGATGGTGCCCCCTCACAATTCAAATCTGCTAGCTATGCTGCTGCACATGTATAAGAAAACTTCAGATTACTTTCAAGATCTGTAGATAATATTTCATTCCTCCACGACCCAGTCGAATAAAATAACAGTTAGACATTTTCAGGATTAAATATTTGGTAGATATTTGTTAGGTTTACACTGGAAAAGCTTTTCTACTTAGTTAATAGAGATATTCATCTAGCTTTTGTCTTTTACAGCAACAACTTCAGTTTATTGATGCAAGTTTTAACAAAATTTACACATTGGAGGGAATGAAGGTAAACTCTTTCACATTTTTAAATTTTTAATAATTTTTTTTAGATATTTATCTCCAAAATTTCTTTTACTTTTGAGACAGAAAATATCTGAGTACGTATCAGGTTTTTTTTCATGTGATTTTCAATCTGTCTGTAGGCAAAAGTATACATAATTGTATTTTTTCTTTACTTATGTATATAAAATATTTTCCTTTTTTAAAATATTAAAAAGAATTATTTCATTCTTTGTTGAATTTTTGGATAATAATTAATGAAAGAATGAAATAAAAATCTCTCTTTCAGATTAATCTGTGAAAATGTGTAGTTAAAGGACATTTTTTTCATTTCAACTTTTAAAAAAACTTTTCAGTATATTTTATTTTAAAACTTACTAAACATAAGCACGCTCAGGGATGCTTGGAAATCATCTGTTGCCCAAAGTAATTCAAAATACAGGAGAGACCGCCAGTACAAACGTATGAAGAAGAATGGGTCGGTCGAACTAAAAGCCGAAGTACTGAGGCTCCGAAGAACCATCCAACGCTTACTGCGCAGATCCTACTGGAACTACCTGAATGGCATCTTCTCAGAGGAAGATACTACCGCCAAGAACAAGCGGTTCTGGAGCTATGTCAAGCATCAAAGGTCAACAAACATCGGGGTTTCCCCCCTGAGATGGGAAGGCAAGTTGACGTCTGAACCCAAAGAACAGGCGGACATACTCAATCAACAGTTCCAGTCGGTCTTTGGGGATGGTAGAGAGTACTCAGAAGTTGAGTTCCTGCTGAAGACCAAGATGATGAGCACAGCCTATCCCACCATGGAAGATATCAAGATCTCAGAGAAGGGTGTGCTGGAACTTCTTAAAACCATTAACCCCTACAAGGCATGTGGTCCTGACAACATCAAGCCACGAGTGCTAAAAGAATTGGCCGAAGAAATCGCTCCTGCATTAACAATCCTCTTCCAATCGTCGCTATTCACAGGCAAAGTTCCAACTGACTGGAGAACAGCGTATGTCACTCCGATCTACAAAAAAGGAGAACATTACGACCCAGCCAATTACCGCCCTGTATCCCTCACTAGCGTAGTATGTAAACTATTGGAACACATAATCGTAAGCGCGGTCATGAATCACCTGGAGAGAAATAATATACTCAATGACTGTCAGCATGGCTTTCGAGTCAACAGATCATGCGAGACCCAACTCCTTGAATTTGCTGAAGAGTTGACGACCAACTTGGAGAACAGCAAGCAGACTGATGTGCTTGTGCTGGACTTTTCAAAAGCGTTTGACCGTGTCAACCATAGCTTGCTATTACACAAACTGCAGAGATATGGGATCCAAGGCACTACCAAAACATGGATCTCTAGCTTCCTCAGCGACCGATGCCAGGCAGTAGTGGTAGATGGCAAAACCTCCTCCTTTGTCAGTGTTAAGTCAGGGGTCCCCCAGGGCTCAGTGCTAGGCCCTTGTTTGTTCCTAGCATATATCAACGATCTGCCCGAGAAGCTGACCTCTCAAGCAAGACTGTTCGCAGACGACACGGCGGTATATAGGACAATGGTCAACAGCTCTGACCAGAGCCAGCTTCAACAAGACCTCAATCGGTTAGCTGAGTGGGAGATAAGCTGGGACATGGAATTTCATCCCGTCAAGTGCCAAACCCTGTCAGTCTCCAGAAGCAGGTTCCCTCTAAACCACTCTTACGAACTGCATGGCCATATTCTTGAGCCAGTTTCCTCCGTAAAGTACTTGGGTGTTACCATCCAAAGAGAGGTCCGCTGGGACGAGCACATTAACAGTGTGTGCAACCGGGCAAACAAGACCCTGTGGTTCCTAAGGCGCAATCTGAAGATCGGCAACTCAAGCGTGAAAGAAAAAGCCTATAAAGCCTTTGTCCGACCTATTTTAGAGTACGCTTCTACAGTCTGGGACCCATTTACCCAGAAAAGTATCGACAGGTTGGAGGCGGTCCAGCGACGGGCAGCACGCTTTGTCATGAACCGCTACAGAAGCACCTCGAGTGTTGGTAGCATGCTGGAAACACTGGGCTGGTCGATATTGGAAGAACGACGAAGACTATCCAGGCTCACCATGTTGTACAAGATAACAAATGGGCTAGTGCACTGCTCCGGAATCAAACAGAAACTCGTTCATCTTCCCCCCAGACTGCGAGGAAGTCACGACAAACAGTTCCGGCTGGTAAAAACAAGAACAAAGTACAGAAGCTCCTCATTCCTGCCAAAGACAATAGGGGACTGGAACAAGCTTCCAAAAGCAACAGTTGAGGCGGCTACACTCGAGACATATGTGTCTATTGCCTCCTGTATTCCAACCCCCAGTTCATAACACCACTGCTGAGTCGCCCTTGCAACCAGTGAAGTATCCCATTGAAACCCATGGAGAGTAACATCGCAAACCCCTCTGAAACATAGGAGCCAAAATGATCAATTCATTGATCGTGGGCCCTTAAAATAAAGAAGAAGAAGAAGAAAATTGTCTAGGAACTTAATCTAAGATTCATTTATAAATGTATAGATGAATGAAATTATTCTGCCATGTTTTACTAATATGATTTAATAAGCGAAGAAAAGAAGAAAAAGAACAGCATTTACCAATGTAAAAAAAATGTATTGATTTCTCAGGGTTTGATGGATCTGAAAGAATTGAATATCTCATGGAACAAACTTGTCAACACCAGAGAGGAGCTCTCTATTTTGAGGAAGCATTTAGGATCATTACAGATTCTTGACTTACGGAACAATCCTTGGTTAAAGGTAGCATCACTGCCCATGTATAAATATAAGCAACTGTGTACAATTTGGAGAGAATTTTACTTCTTATGTTTATGCTGGAAAGTGCAAAAATTGTATTAAAATTATTATTTCAACTGAAGACCATGGAGAAAATGAATGATCTGTTACACTTAAAAAGTATAAAAATCTATAATGGAAGAATTTTTTTGTTTGTTGTTAAGTGATTAATGATCCAGAAATTTTGTATACTATTAGGTAAGTCTTAAGTAACAATTGTATTTTAAAGTGGGTGGACATTGTCATTTTATTAAAAACAATCAGACAACCGTTGATAAACACAGAAATAAAATTTATACAAATATACACACTATTTTGTCTTAGGCAAAGGATTTACGACTACGAACTATCGGCAGGTTAAGGAATCTACACATGCTTGATGGCAAACATGTTGGTGAAGAGGAAGCCACCTTGGCACTTCGATGTGCTGCAGGGTCACGCATCTCACAGTTGTCCTTGATGGCCCACACACGCACTGATTCTGAGGTCCCTCGGTCACTATCCCTGGGTGATTCTGCCCACATAATAACAATGATCAGCAGAAATCGACCAATGAAAACGAGCGAGGCTGACACTAAATGGTATTCACAGGTGGGCATCAAATTTTTTTTTTAGAGAAATGTTTTTGTTTTACAAATTTTGTAAATATTTTGTTCTGCTATAAATCTTTAGCACATGGACAGCAAACATCAAAATTTTGTGACACTTTTTTAACAAAATTAGTTAACCATTTGAACCCTTGGCTCCTGGTCCTAAAATACCCTTGCCCCTGGGCTCCTGGGGAAAATTTCCACAAACTGACACACAAGCAAACAAAATCAAATGATTATAAAATTTATTAAATACATTTAATTTATTTCAATCCAAATTTGTCTTTTAGTAGTCCATAAGTATTATAAAATGTATCACTGGGAGAAAATTGTCTTAGAAATGGTGTAAAATAGCATAGTTAAAGGTCATTTATATGACCCTGATTTTTCATAAAAGCCAGAGCTAGGACTAAGGGTAGACCTTGTGTTATTTCTTTTATTACCAAAGCACACAACAATAGTACTAGTAGTTGAAGTCGTTCGATTGTCACTTTCATTGCCTATTTGCTTTATTTCAATTCTTTTTCAAAACATGATAATAATCCTTTGTATCATTTGCATTATCACAAAGCTGCTCCAGTTTGAGTCCTTTAGAATAGAAATTTTTGTATTTTCATCACCAATACTTTAGTGAGACTTAAAAAGTCAACATTCTGAACAACTTTATTTCATAATTTATTCCAGGTGACCACACTGAATCTTGACAACCAACACATCACAAAGTTGTCTAACTTGGATAGGCTGGAGAATCTCATGTGGGCTTCCTTTAACAGCAACGATCTCACCCGCATTGAGGTGATCTATACTTGTTGGGACACTTTTAGAAGTGAAGGTCATTTTAGCAGGGATTTTTAAAGTTTTTAATATTTTAGATCATCATAAACATAGGATACCTCAAATACAATCATAAGTGTTGATTTACATTAAAACACTTTAACTTTTAAAAATTTAAGAATTCATGGCACAAACAAAAAAATACTTTCCAGGGATCCTTCAAAAAATGTTCTGGTATTGACCAGATAAAGGCAGTAAAAAAATATTGAAGGAAATAAATTGAACAGTTAGAGAAAAACTTTGGGTACCATCGTCTGTTGAATTTATACCATACAATCAGGCAAAAATAAAAATTGAATTCTTTAGATATGTAATCAAATTGTTTAAATATGAATATAATTGAAAGAAATTAATAAAAGCATTGCTGTACTTGCAAATGTTGAGATAAAGGGACATAGGCCAGATTCCATAAAGAAGACTGTTTTCTACCCCTGCTTTTAGGAGACCTTTAAATTCCCTGAATGAGTCAATGTATTTTTGGGGCGATTCTTGAGCAGGAAATTAAAGATTTCTTTTACCTTTTTGACAATCAAATTGCATAAGACCCTATTTTATTAAAATTTGAAAAAAGTATTTTAACCTTATAATTATTCTATAAAACATCTGTATGTTTATGTGCTTCTATATTTGATTTTTCAATACCTGTAATATTAAGGTCTCAAGGTTTGGATTGAAAGTTTGATATAAGTTATGTTTGTACTATTTGATCTAGGGCCTGGAAAACTGCACTCAGTTATTGGAGCTGTCCCTGACCAACAACTGCATTGCCCACCTTGAGGGCCTGAGCAAGCTGACCAACATTCAGCGACTGGACCTCTCATACAACTGCCTCACTTCAATTGACACAGGCGTCCTAGCGGTCATGACCTCCTTGATGTCCTTGTCAGTGGAGTCCAACCAGCTGACCAGTTTGGCTGGGCTACAGAGCTGTGCAGCCCTGACTGAGCTGTACATTGGAAATAACAACATCAGCAACATTCGTGAAGTCTTCCTGCTGAAGGTAGTGTCAAACCTTTTGGCCAGTTTGATCAAAATTTTTTTACAGAGATTCTCATGTTTCATTACAGTTGCAGAAGGTTTTATACTTAATAATTTTCTTAACTGATGTATGTTTAGTTACATTTCAGTTTTTTTGTGAGTTTGTTACACAAAGATTCAAGCATGCCTGACAGATTTTGATTAAAGTTGATCATTTTTTACCCCTGTATTTTGATAAATCCAAAGATTTCTCTCTCATGTATGGTCAACCTAATAAACTCAACAATGCTGCATGTTCAATGCATATTTTTTGGTATCAAAAATAAGTAAAAATCCAACTTTGTATTTTAATCCTTATTTTTCTTAATTTAATAACAAATTAAATATTGTTTTTAAAATTTAAAACAAGCTTTATGGAAATACAGATGTTTACTCTACTAACTCTCAACTGTTCAACACCACTCTCAAAACACAGCTGCTCTATACTAAGCTAATACCTCAACTACCTAATATATCTACACACATTACCATAACAATACTACCTCATAAGGCAACAATTAATGCATATCGTGACAATAATCTTGACAACAATGTTCTAATAGGCCATACACCCAGAAACATATACTAAAAGACACAATTGACTTGCAACCGATCCACACCATATTCTAGCCTTAACATGTTTTGTTGTTTTAAATTTACTTGAAAGTATTTTTTGAGGTTATTTTTAAATTATAATCTTCTAAATGTCCAATTTTCCAAATATCCATTGGCCCAAATGTCCAAGTGCCATATATAAAAAAAAAATGAGAAATTTGTTTGGTTCGTTTTACATCTATGTTTTTTTATTTTCATTTCAGTCATTACCAAACTTGGTCATTTTAGACATGTATGGCAACCCCATGGTAACAGCAGTAGAAAATTACCGACTTTTTATTATCTACCATTTGAGAGCTCTGAAGGCTCTGGATGGTTCAGCCATTGTAAGTCAAAAGAATTTTTTTTTAAATCTCCATAAGGCTTTATATTTTCATCTGTATAAATACCATGTTAATTACTTTTTAGTTGTTTTTGGAAACTACTGTATTATTTCAAAATGATTAGTATAACTTTTTTATTTTGGATGTTAATGGAAGGAACAGAAACCAAATTTTATTTTTAAATTTGGTATGTGGAAATAAAAAAATTAAACTAGAAATTAAATTTTATTTTTAAATGAAAGAAATATTTAATTGTAAAATAAAAGTTTTCTTATTTTTTATTTTAAACGTAACATTCCAAAGGAAATGAGTAGGTAGATTTTGTTGATGAGAAATAAATTTATTAATTAATAATTTTAAAATTAAACCAGTTATTCCTTTCTTTTTACTTCTTAACTGTTACAATAGTAAAAAAAGACCTCTTTGAAATATCTTTTCTAATATACTTTTATTCACCGTAGGAGTTATTTTTGTCAGTCATGGTGTCAAATATCTATCATTTTTATATGAATTTGTTGATCTAAGACACAGAGGAACATGCGTAAGGATATGGCACTATATCAAAAAACGCAGGCAACCCTAGACCTTCTTTTACTCGATATAAATAACTCATATAGTCAGGTGACTTGCGCAGGGTTTTCAGTCAGCTGAAATATAAAATATCCTAGGCTTCATTCTACTCAAAACTTGAAAATACCAATTTTTTTCCATTAAAATGCCACCACATTTGATATAAATTTGGAAAAGTTTAATGAAATGGATATTTTGTTCATAATTTTGGCTTCTTCTGAAGTTGAAGTGATTTAATTTTCTCTGTCATTGAAAACCCTGAGCATTAAACTGTTCCAAAGAGCTCAAATGCGGCAGCATTTGTGTGATTGTTTTAATTGAATTTTTAAAAAAAATTTAAACACCTTTTAATGCTCGTGTATTCATTTTTGAAGTTAAAAAGTTTTTTTGTTAAGAAAATAAATATAAATTTTTTTAAATTAAGGAAATTAACAGTTAAAATATACAAAGTTTGATTTTAGTTAATTTGGAAATTAAATTTTAGAAAATTATTATCATAAGTCTCATTTCATTAAATTTTAAGTAAGTTTTAATGCTTTTTGGAAAAAATTAATTAACTGCAAAAATGAGCTAAAAGTGCATTTAAATCATATATATATATATATATATATATATATATATATATATATATTTTAAACAATTTTTATATTACTCTGCTTATTTTAATTTATGTTAATTTATGTTGTTAATTTATAGTACATTATAACATGTCTGTTTATTTTTAAAAAATGAGCTAAAAGTGCATTTAAATCATATATATATATATATATATATATATATATATATATATATATATTTTAAACAATTTTCAAATTACCCTGCTTAGTTTAAGCCATGTTAAATTATGTTGTTAACTTATAGTACATTATAACATGTCTGCTTAGGTTTCCCCTGTGATAAACAATTAACAATCTAAACCGCTCAAATTTTTTTATTTTTCATATGCTACCAGTTTTATCCCCCTAAAAATAAGAAACTGACACAGTTTTGTTTGACCTACAACCCTCCCAAAAAAAGAAAATAGTGCACCACGCTCTTTTTTTTTTTTAAAGGAAAAATGTTTATTTATAAAAATGTTTTCTTTTTTGTAAGGTTAAGATTTATTTTACCTCGCTATTATTTTTCCTTCAAGATCCCCTACTTATTTCTTATTGAAATCTTAATCTGAATCATAGAAAATTTGTTGTATTAGAAAATTTATAAAACTTGGATAAATAGTTATTCAACTGTTTATTATTCCAACTTTGTTTGCTAATTTGAATAATGTTCTTTCCATGAAATTTTAATAATGATCTTTGGTTATGTGACCTTTTATAAGATAAAATTATGATCTGCTGTGGCGCAAGAAACCCCTTAGTTTTATTCCAAAAAGAACATGATTTAAAAAAGTGCAGAGCTATTTATTATAAAGAAAATGTTCTAAAAAATTCATTAGCACTGGAGCAAAATTTTAGTTTCATGGTATCCCTTTTGTCATATTCTGGAACCATTATTATATTTTAAAGAACCCCCACCCCACTCTAGTCTTTTTCCATATTTCTGTAAGTTACTAAATATGAGGTGTGGGATTTCATAATCCAGGTAAATCCTCTTGGATCAACTAATTTGTGTTGTATTTGTGTGCAGGAGGTTCAGGAAGGGAGCACAGCAAAAGACATGTTTGGAGGACGCCTAACGCTAGATTTTGTTGCAGAGAAATTAGGTCACTCAACATTTGCAGAGATTAGGGAGCTGGATCTTCCAAATTGTGCAATACGAACTGTTGACCTTGGAACAGGGGAACTTTTTATTAATCTCCGCAGGTAACAAAAATAAACTTCAGTAATCACCATACTATTATGTCTAAAGGTCCTTAATAATTGTTTAACTAACATGGGATTGTGACAGGATAAGGAAAGGGAAGGAAAAGTAAATTATTGAACATCAAAATGTCTTTTTTAATTGACTGTTTTATATTTGAAGTTAAATAAATTAGCAAAATATCTGTACAGCCCTATGTTTTTGCTAAATTCTTGATTTAGTTGGTGGGCAGTTTTAACTTAATTTGTAAGACTATTTTTTTGTGTGTGTGTAGAGAGCCACTGTTTAATTCCTCTCTGAGTGCTAACTCCCATGGTTAAGTTATCTTATTGAGGGAGATCCCAGGTATAACTATTTCTAGCTATTGGGCACATTTTGAAAAATACCAAATGCAACTTAATTTTTTTTTGTTCAGTGTAAATCTGGAACACAACAACCTCCAGTCTTTCTCAGGCCTTATTCACTTGACCAACTTAAGGGTAAGTTTATATATCTGGTTTTAATTAGATAATTTTTTTGGTCAATGTTGCCAGGATTAGAAGAGATAACACATGTAATTATTAACTATTATTTTAGCAAGTTTAAGTGGTGTGCATTTGAATCCATTAATTCATCTTTATATTGATGTGATTAATGTAAGCCAAATAATTAAAAGATTCCAGAACATTGGTTGACATTAGGCTCTTCTATTTTCTGTGTTTGGCCTGATCCCAAACAGGTTCTGTGCTTAAATCACAATCACATTGAATGCATCATGCCAAGGTCAAAGACAGCTTTACCAGTCAACAAGAAAAATGTTGGACCTTGTAAAAATGTGGATTACTTTGCTCAGAACTGTTCTCCTGTTTTGGAGAACCTGGAAGTCCTTCATCTAGGGTAGGTCTACAGTGTAATTTAGTCTTACATTTTTAAATATAGAAAATATTTTTAAAAATTGAGGAACTCCTCAGCTGCACAGTGAGCCTCTTAGAGGGAAATAAATCTAAAAAAAGAGTTGCTACAGATCAGATAATTTATTTTGATACCGCAGATAAAGTATTGATGAATAAAGTATTAGAGAGTCAACTGTCTAGTGACTGGTGACCTGAACAAATTCCTATTTAATAGATGTTTAGTTAAATATCAAGTTTTTATTTTCTCAATTTTATTAGATTGTTATGAATATTATGTCTTGATTAATTAATTATACAACATTGGGGAAAAAATTACACAAGGACAAATGAAGTTAATCAAATGAAATGAGGAAAAATTATTTCATGAATTGAACACACAAAGAGAAGTGTTGTTTACACAGAATGGATAAGACGAAGAGAAAAAGAAAAATATACCAACAATAAATTGTAAGCGATCACTTTGTTGAAAACATAAGTAATTGTTTTAAATATCTCCAAACAATTACTGACAATGCAATGATGATGAAGATTATAAAAGGGATCTCAGGATCTCAGTGACATTGAGTATTATTAAACAAATCTATTACCTGTCCGTTTTTTTTTTTAAAGAACTTCCTGCTTATATTGCAAGTTTTCATAAATATAGGCTTTTTGAATGATTGCGGTTAAAATAGCATTTGTAAAATTTGACTGATTTACTATTCATGTTAATGGCTTTCTAACACAGTTACAATGGCATCAAAGACATTACTTCTTTACAACTGAATCGTCTTCCTAGTCTCAAGGCACTTTTTCTTCAAGGTGAGTCTTCGGTTGTTGTTTTTTTTCCACCAGGAATCATATTCACTCAACATGTTAATTAAAAACTAGTTGTATATTTTTTTGTATTAAAGCTTTTGAAAACAATTTAATTTTTCAAAAAAACAAATGAATTTTTGTTCAGCTCAAACCTGTTGTAGTTATATAATATACTGATCGCTAAAACAGGAAATGAGATCACAAAAATAGAGGGCCTGGAGGGGCTGCATGACTTGAGGGAACTGGTGCTAGACAAGAACAAAATCAAGCAGATTACTGAAACATCATTCTCGGGCCAATGGAATCTTCAGGTAAGACTGGCTGGTTTCATTATAAATCCAATATCTTTTATACTAGATGATGAGATCTAAAAATTTATTTTTAAAATTTAAATTATACAAATAATTCTTTTTCTATAAATTTACAAACACATTTAGAGATAATGAACCACTTTCAAAAGGTTAAATCAGAAATCAAACTGTTAATGCAATTATTTTTTAATGTGGAAAAACACCAGCCTTGGAACAAATTGTTTATTGTACACTTTGTAAATAAATGTTTATAGAATTAAAAGGTTTTCATTATAAGCCTTTAATAATGAAGTAAGAAATAGGTTTTCTCTTTACACTTAACAGTTAAGAAACGTACCTTAAAAATATAATAGCCATTATAGTTATCTGCTTTTTGAATAGTTGTATTTGACCTTACAGGAGCTACACATTGAAGAGAACCGTCTGAAAGACATGTCAGGACTTGGCTCAATGGAAAATTTAATGCGCCTGTACATGGGGGTCAACAGAATTGCAGACCCAGCAGAGCTAGAGAAATTGGAACCCTTACGCAATCTCACAGAAATATCTTTGACAAATAATCCTGTAATTTCACAATTTTACCTTGTTATAACTTAACTCCTAGAAAATTGTTGCAACTTCATTGAAACAATATTTTACCAGGCACAAGGAAATAGAAACACTGAGCCTTGGAACTAAAGTGTATTGTATTATTTTTTAAAGACAAACTTTTCTATATTCAACAATAGCTAATCTATGCCTTTTTTTTTATTTTATTTGAATCAGAAGTAATCATATTATTAAATCCTCGATACTTTAGTGCAACCTTCTCTAAAATCCTCAGATTAAGAATAAATCTTGCGTGGGGTTATATAATTTTTAGAAAGGAAGGTACCAAAATAAAACCCTCTTCTAGAAATATAATATAAAAAATTTAGAAATGGATAATACCAAAGTTCAACACTGTTCTAGATTTGGCCTTTGACTGCTAACTTTTGATACAAAACATTTCAATAGCAGATGACCTGTTTACTTTGATATCAGTACTCCTGACTTGGATGTAAATCAATCAATGCACAGTCATAATTTTGCCAGCTATGTCAATCTGCCGGCATCAGGTAGTCTTTAATCAAAGCCAGTGCTAATTTATTCCCATGACCTAGGTTTCCCGCCGAATGATCCACAGAGTAATCTTGATCCACCGTCTTCAGCACTTGCTTGTCATTGATGGCATTGCCATATCGGAGGAAGAGAGGAACAAATCAGAATTTTACTACACTGATCAGACTCCCCCTGTGTCAGCTGTAAGTATGTGACTGTAATTATTGCAGACCTGTTTACTATTACGATTTTGGGGTACAATGTACGATTTTCAAGTGTATACATTATATATACTTTGTTTATTTTTTTACTTTAAAGATTTGTATTGAACAAATTTGTGATGATATTGTATGATTTTAAGAGTTTGAGGGTAAACAGGTCTGATATTGGGAAATTGGGATGCACTGCCATTTCTGGGTGCAAAATCTTTCCACACCAAATATAATCTGATATGATCAATGTAGATCCTGTACCATGGTTTAGCAAAGTGGAAAAGAACCCAATAACGTTCAAAGTTTATATGTTAAAATTATATCTTATAAAAACAATACTTTTACAATTTGACAACAGTGAATTGAATTCTATGAAGATAAATTGATGCAACAAATGCTTGGATCATTAGCTTATTAAAAAAATCCCTTCCATGTGCTCATGATGGCTGTATGCTTCATATTTTTAAAATATTTACATCAGTACATAGACATGGACTCTCGTTTAATATAAATATGTCATTCAAAAGCTACAGGGGGAGTTTCATTGGTAGTAGGGAAGTTTCTTTTGTTTGGCACAGAATATTGTAAAACTTAAATTTATTTAGTTTTGTTCATGAATTTACAAAGGAAAGGAATCCAAAAAGTAATATTTACCCAAAACCTTGGGATCAGAAGGTTATGATTCTCAATTTTCCTGAATGAAGCCTTGTGGAATCACTTAGTAACTAATTTTATTTAGAAAGCTGTAAAACAAAAACACACAAGATGCCACATTTCTTTTATTTCATGTTCTCAGAATTTATTTTCAACAAATGAAACAAGCCTTCCGGGAATTACAAATTCAAAACCTAGTATTCAGGTCAAGGTTACCAACATGCAGCTTGGTTCTGCTGCCATGTGGGGCAGCTCAGCCTATGTAGATGAAGAATTATCCCAAAGAGGTTGGTCAACAATAAAAAGGTTTTTTTTGTTGTTTTTTTTCATTTTAATTTGTGTTCATTCCAGCTGTTCTATTTATTTATTTACTCAGCTGATGCACATCAGTAAATCATTCTGACAGCACTTGTCTATCTTGCTTTTGGCCTTAGTTGTACAGAAGATCTTTTTTGCTTCTGTTCTTTAATATTAACTCTATCCAAACGTTGCTATAAAAGAGTATTGATTTCATTCTGGACTGTATTCCATGCTTTTTCTTATCAGCTTTTCACATTGCCTTTCGCTTCTCCTCCTTCATATAATGACCTCTACTTTACTGAATTTACATAGCTATGAAAACTTTTCATGTTCACTTTTCTCTCATAACTATTTTAAAATTATTATTTTAAAGAAGTAGAAGAAAAAGTTTGTTTAAAATAAAGACCTTTAAAAAAACACACAATTTAACCTGATTTTAAAAATAAATATGTTCTTAATTTTCCAGCCAGTCGTTCAAAGCGTGCAACTCGTGAGCCTTCCAGGCAGCCATTTGGTCTTTCAGGTGGAAACAGCGCACCTCCCGGGACAAATAACAGCAATAGTCGAATGCAGTATTTATACCTTAATCAGTTACCTTTCAATATTAGCCAGTCATCTGAATATGTTGAAACAATAGCAAGGTAATTTGCTCTTCATTAGTTGCATACATATATTTTCTCTTTTACTAGGCTGGCGTGCCGCGCTATATAAAATCAAAAATAATAATAATAAAATCATGATTATTTCACCTTAAAATCATTTTATAATCTTTTTTCAAGATTTGGAGCTAATGGTTACTTCTGAAAAGCAATTGATTTTGATTAAAAAAACATTTTAAATCATCTAGTGTATTATTCCATTATTTCTGTCCAATTTTCTCACCTCCCTAAGGAATTTTTTTTTTTTTTTCAATATCTCACAGGCTGAATCAGCAAAGAAGCAGTAAGAGATAAAGATTATCTCCCTTTGTCTTCGATTATCTCCCCTTGACCAGAATTCATCCCGCTCTGACATTATTCTCTGTATGTAGATGATGTTAACAGTTTCCTAATTAATTAAAGATTATCTTATTTCAAACCTAAAGATCACCTGCTTTTATAATTGGATAATCTCTGATCCTGTTGAATAATTGCCTTTGTGTGCATACTTTCTGCAGAATAAAAGAAAATAAACTTTGATAATTGAATCATTCAACAAGATTTCTGGGATATCTGTTTAAAGGGCACTTGTAAGTGCAAGTATGCAATATTACCTGATCAATTTACTGTCATTATAGTTTTAAAAATCTACCTACTTAAAAGCATCAATTTTTAACTTATTTACTTAAGTGGTAGGAACTAATAAGTTATGGTATAGAGGCAGAAAGATTTTTTTTAATAGCCCAATACTCATGAATGAATTTAGTAATGTTTAGGTTAAAGTTGGAGCTTTACTTTTATAGATACATTAAAATAAGAGATAATTAGCATCTTTAGGAAAATAACTTGAGAAAATGTCCAGAAATTTAGCTATTTTTATCATAGTTCAATGTACCATATCTCCAATTAGAGAGTTCATACATACAGCTGGTAAAACATTGGCAAATAGCAATTGTCTGTCTATAAATACTGATGACATGTCAGTATTGAATCTGTCATGATATTAAAAAATATTACTAAGTTGTTTTCACATGTAGCATGTTAAATATGCCGAATTTGAAGCAGGAAATGTCAGTGAGTGATTTTTGTGAATGAAAGTCTTGCACTAGTTCATTTTAAGCTGAGTGTAAATATTTGTAAATATGATCTCAGTGAGTCATTGATTAGTTTCATTGAGGTATTTGGGTCTAACAAATGTAAAATGGCTGTGCAATAATGTTTCTATTTAGGTATGTTAGTTTTAAAATGTTAGCATTAGAATACAGATAGAGAGGTAACCTACCAAAAATTATAATTTTAAAAATACAAATAATCTTGTCTTTTTTTCAAGCTTATAGCTAATGCACGATTGCTATAAATGCCAAACAATTTATTTTGTAATTTACTGTATTTTTTTATATCCCCTATCTTTTTTTGAAACACTTCATTTTCCTACCTAAATTTTAAACAGGGAGAAACAAATTTTTTATTCAAGGTCCTTATATAAAGTTAAATCTTTCCTTACTTTTCATTTTCAATGAGATTTTTGACAATGAAAGCTTTGCAAAATTTAGTTTTGAAATTTTTTGCTCTCAAATCTATCAAATGTTTTTAAGGGTAAATTTCAATTTAAAAAATTATTTATTTTTGTATCCACTATGATACACTCTTACCTGCTGACTATAAATTGTATACATGACTTTGTTGTTGTCTGAGTGAATCCTCATTTCTCATTCATGCGAGTACATTAATGCACTTAAAAAACACACCCTGAATGCCTGTGATAACTTATTATATAATGCATGCTTTAAAATGGTTTTCTTTTTCTTTTTTTTATTTATCTATGCTGTGTGTAATGTGGTGGTTTAAAAAATGTAAAATATATTTTTCAATGTTTATTCTCCTTTGTAAGGGAATATTGCAACCAAAAAAGAAAAATACCATTTAATTTTATTAATTTAATGTTATGTACACTTAAATATAGCTTGCACTGTGTATTAATATTTGTTTTTGAATATCGATGACAATACTAACATCAGATAAGCTACAGCAAGCTTGTCAAACTCCTGAGATAAAAACAAGTTTACACTTACATTAATAATTTTAGCCCTCAAAGCTTTAACAGTTGGACACTTAGAGAAAATATGACATTACTTATTTTTTTTTAGAATAAGTTTTTGAGTCTAAGTTTTTTATGTCTAAGTTTTAAACCAAATTTTAAAAAAATACAATTTAAATAAACATTTCAATCATGAATTTGCATTAACTGTTAACAGAATTTTACAACTTTTAGTCTCATTTTGGTTTCTAAACCTGAATTTGCAGGGTGGTAAAGCTAAATCTTTTGACTGAAAGTTAAAATTTTAATGAAAGTCAGTTAATTAATAAAACAAGGCAGTTGTTCTCCTTTGTTTTTGTTTTTTAAATTCACTTCAAAGTCTGTTGACGAAACATTCCACATTAACATTGTTTGTACAATGTCAGATATTATAAGATGTCATAAGAAAACATTTTCCCCATCCCCAAAACATTTTCCCCTTCCCCTAACACTAGTAAGTGATGTCATAAATGAAAGACTCTAATATTTTAGATGTTGCCAGGTGGTTTGAAATTATGTCTGTCAGTTTTTAACTAAATATTCCTCTTGGATACTTAATAAGGAGAGTGTAAATCCAAAATTGTATTATTCACTTATTTGTAAACATCCATCACGTTGAATATCCAATAGTAATAGTGTTTACATTGGGCCATAAGTATATATCAGCAAAAATTCTTCATAAATGTTTATAAGAGGTGGACTTAATAAAGAAAATGTTTGAATAATCTTTACAAAGTCTTGTCTGCGTTATTTTTAAAACTCTTCATCATATACTTTGTTGCCCTCTTAAAAAATAACACCTGAAGCTTTTATAAAATGACATCCAAACAAAATACAGAGAGCAATTTGAGTACTGGTTTTTAATGTTAAGTCCAAAAAAGTGATTTTACAAATTGAAACAAGCAGACTGATCAGTCATCCTTTTTATTTTTACTTGTCATCTCAATACTCTAACCACTCATTAGCAGTGTTTCTTTCAGACAGTTACGCGTGGGCCATTTCTGCGTTCGATTTGGGGTTGGGGGGCATTGCATCAATCAGCACTAAAAAAAGAGCATATAGGTGCCTCTGCCTCATATAAACTGAATTCATTTGGTTGTGGCAGTCCTGGGGGCATGCTTTGGCTCCAGTTTAGATTCACCCCTGGAATATAAAAAGTACAAATATCTTTATCAAATTAAACGAAAATAATGTTTTTGTCATTTTGTTAAAATCATGAATTACTAACGTTAACATACAGTGCTTTTTATCTTTAAAAAGTTGTCGCTACTACATTTTAGGGCCCCAAGCAAATCCAAATTTTGACCCCCACAAATTTCAAAATGAATAATCTCTGGCACCGCGGGCATGGGATAGTTGCTGCAGACGGTGACCTAATGTTGCTCTTTCTGGCAAACCTGCGTGTCTCAGCTGTGGTTATCCTATTAGCTTCATGGGATTTAGCCCCTTCTTGACAGCTGCTCTTCACCTGGCTCTGTCCTGGGCTGTCTGCACCCATTGAGTAGGGTTGATGCTGAAGGCCTGTAGTGCCACTTTCAGTGAGTCTTTATAATGCTTTTTTTTTTACCTCCTTGGAGAACTCACGACAGGCAAGCGCTCCCAAGGAACATTATAATACTGCCCTTGCGGTCTCCCATCTGGGTAGGGCCCCAAGTGATTTACTTGGTTGCCTCGGACTCTGCATGTCCCTGTACGAGTATCTATGTGTACCTTGATTTCCTAATATAACAAATAGGTTTCTCAAAATTAATTAGGGCGCATTTTAATTTTAGTTCTAGCTTGGGCACCATATGTCCTCTGTAAGACTCTGTAAAATCGCACATAAGCTTTTACACAAAAGGTTTTGGGTGCAGGGTACTAATATAAATAAATTTATTTAAAAAACTACAAAATACACCTTCTACTGCCATACTCAACTGCCTATACTCTATACTATAGGTTTATAACTTCTGTCGCAGTCATCAGAATTCGTCACTCTCAAGGCTCTCAAGGCTCAAGGCCCACCACATTATTATATTACCATATACGAGTCTATTGAATTGGCCTGCCTATAAAATTTTTTTTTTCTTTAAATTCTCTAAATTATGACTAATTTAAATAAAGAAAGATCGATTAAGGCATGAAACAGATGTTCAATTCAAGTCAATTGTGATGGCGATGCCAATGGATAAAGAAAGTTTTCGTTTGGTTTTCAAATAATTAATAGCACGAAAATGTATTTGAATTTATTATTACATAAATTATTTGCACCCTAATTTCTTAAACAATTCATATTTAAAATTTCTATACTGTACCGCAATAAATAGAGATTATATTTAGCCCTACCTATCTTCCCGTCAGCAATATTAATTAATAAGGTGTTACGAAAAAGACGATTAAAAACGAAATCTCTATAAAATGAAGGATCAGTACATTATTGATTTTTTATTTGACAGAGTGCCCAGCTTACTCACTGCCAAAAATTTTCATTTCCTTCTTCTTCTACATCTACTGATTTGCAACAAGAAACAATTATCCTCGTATGCTTTGGTTTTGAGGTAATATTTCAGTCTCCCCATGTATATAACAAGCAAACTCGTATGATGTTATTAAGATTGTTTTTCTAGCGTAGGCGTATTAGTATTACTATAATTATTAATACTAAAATGCATAGCCAATACCTCAATACTACCGGTATTCATTTATAAATTAAATTTATATTGAATCATTGAAGAAGTAAACTTGGAAGACTTCACTTCATTATATGATTAGTTCATAATAGTTCATATCTTTGTCATTAAAGTTTTGAATTTAATTTTAACATAATTACTAGGTCACTTGTAGGTTTAGGACTAGGCAGATGGATAATCTCTTATGTTTGTGTGCAAGTGCAATAAATTCCTTAATTAACGTTTTTTAAATACAATAAATAATCAACTTATTAATATTAACTTATTATTTCAATTGGTCTTTGGACCAATCAGATTGGTAAATTTAGACAATCTGCCTAATCACCCTCCCCTAAAGACTTCAAGGGACCATCTGTATAGTATATTCCAAATGCACTGAGGGGGGGGGGGGCACAGATGCAGAGTATCAATGAATCAATGTCAGTATATTTTATTTATTAATATTACTGCAACCATCTGTCAAAGATGGTCAATTAATATATAATGGTGAAAATCCTTTATTCTTTATGGATCCAAAGAGGATTTTAACCCTTACTAATACTTTTTATAATAAAATAAGTTAATAAGGTGATTATTTATTTTTAAAAAGTTAATTATGGAATATACTGCACTTTCACAAACTTAAGACATTATCCATTTGCTTAAACCTACAAGTGACCTAGTATTTAAGTTTAAGATAAAATTAAATTCAAAACTTTAATGACAATGATTATGAACTGATGAAATCATTAGAAAAGAGAAGAAACACTGGAGGCATATCATTATAAAACTTTTTTTAAAACTTATCTTATGGAGAACATGTCATGTTAAACATCACTTTTTAAACCTTTTCTTTGCCCCTCCTTATTACAACCAATCACAGTGGACTTACTTTTCCTCTCTTCCATCCCATTTTGTCTGTATTAACTCTTACCTACTTTTGTTCTATCACATTCTGCTTGCTGTCCTCTGTGATACTATATGGCAGCCAAGTCTTTTATATTGATTTTACTGGGTTTTTTTATCTCTGAAGAAGGCTTCTTGTAGACACATTCGTTGTCTTGTTGCATCTATTTTTTTCAGGTTTTCCAATACTTTTTTTGTAGCTATTTCCTCCTACCTAACCTGATTGCAGTTTCTCTCCCTTATTACCATGTTTCAAGTTAAAATAACAGTTATTTTATTTATATTTATTTCAGTTTCATCAATCACCTATTAACTATATTTTTAGGCAAGATTCAGGGGAAATAATTAATCAGGTCTTAACTAATTTTTGTAAAAATATAACATAACTATTTTTTGTCCATACATTTAATGTTGCGTTTTTTTTCTTCCTCTTTCCAGATTTACTTGTCACAACTATAATATCTCACCACTACTTCTCAGTCAGCTAATAGAAGCAAGAGTCTTTTGATAACATAACTTCTTCACAATGGCGAACTGTGGCTGGCTATGGAGCATAATTTGGTTCATTATTCTCATAGTCTTCGGTTGGCCTATAGGCTTCCTGTGCGCTGTTTTCTTTGTTATTTTCAGTCCATGTGCAGCATGCTGCTCAGGATGCATTGAGCTTATTAACCTGTTAGAACGAGGGGTCAAACTTCCACTTACCTGTGCACAAAACATGGTATCAGGAAAATCTATGTGTTAAAAAATTAGCTCTAATAACTTTTTCCAAATAAGGTCTGTATCTAATATTTATAAATGCTGGTTTTTTTTTCAAATGAATCACTGGAATGAATGCTTTCATTCATATAAATACTATATTTGATTATTTTAGATTTAAATCTTTGTCATACCTCTTTAATAGTTTAGTTCCTTTAAAATGGGCTAAAAAGTATAACTTCATCTCTTCAATATTTATGCATACAACTACTTTTGGAGTCATAATTAGTAATAAAGCTTTCATACAAACAATTGTGTGGAAAAATTAATATCATTTAATGCTCTTTTTAAATTTATTTTTTATCTGCTTCATAAAAAGAGCAGGCCTTGCAAATTAAAACTTATACACTTTCATTGTATCCCCTTGCATGTATTGACACTGTTTGAGAAGAAAAAAATAATTTTTTTCTGGTCTGCCATAATTCTTATTATATTATTTGAGAATTAATTTTTCAATGATGTTTTAATATTGAAATTTACTGATAACCAAGTATCAAATAGAGCTTCCATTCAAATAGTGACAAAATCATTGTCAAAATCGGTATAAATTCTAAAAAAACATCTTATTTATCTTTAATTGCTATTATTACTATACATATTTTATTAAAATTAATTTGCTTTCAATACTTCTTTCAAAAATTTGAAACTTCATTTCTTGTTATAATTAATTGTTCCTAAAATAGGGAAACTGCAGCTTTCTAATGTAAATTTTTCAAGAATTTTTTTTTATCTTACACCCTTTGCCACCTTCTAAATGCAATAAATTCTTATCATTAAATCTCCACTGTACTAAAATGTTCAAAGTGATGAAGATTTTAGGAATGGAAAGGCAATATGGGGCACTAAGTTTATTGAAAATTTTATCTTATGCTCCATGCCAAACTAGAGCTGATACAAACACTATATTGATATAAGGTGGGAAATATTTTTGTACATTTACGAAAAGTGGGAAAATATAACTAACATGTGTAATCATAAATCCTTTTAAATTATCAAACAAAATTTTTAATTGAGCCTGAATTAATGCTTCAAAATTTAAATAGGCGACAGAGTGTTTGTCAAAATTTCAATCACTTTAAGTTTTACTGACAAGTCATAATATCTCCACAGCCTTCAAGTCAATAAAATTGTTCAATGAGCTAGTAGCTAGCTATTGTTAGAAAACTGGTTTCATGTCAATGTAAACATCATCTTACTGTCATCTGTGCTCAGAGATAGTTTTTGTAATTTTAAATGTTATTGTCAAATACAGTAATTGTTTGTATTTTTCTCTTTTAAGTTATTATTTAAAACTTTGTGTTTGATGTCTTTGCATCTAGTTATCTAATTGATGCCACATCAAAAAAAAGAAAAGTGTATCACTGACTATCACATTAGTATTAACCTGAAGAATGTGTGTGTAAGATTCATTTATTTTACCATTTAGACAAATGCGTTACACTTTTGTTTTTTTTAGTTTTAGATCAACTTTGATCAAGAAATTAAATTTTTGAACTGTATAGTTTTTATTAGATTATCCATTTGTAACAAAAACTGACTTTTTTTTTTCATTATGAAAATATTTTAGACATTTACTTTTAGCAGTATATTTTGTGCAGCAGACTAAGTTATTGGTCATATCTGCACAGTATACAACTGATGCAAACTATGCTATTTTAAAGTGGGGCCATCTGAGTAACCTGTCTGTAAACATATTGTTAAATTTTATGACTGCACACATAACTCTTATATGACATTAGACACAGAAGGACCAAGACATCCAAAATCAACTTATTTGCATCCCGAAAAAAATCTTTAACATTAGAAGTAGTATATGGGCCTTTTGATAAAATAAAAGTTTGTCATGGGAATTTGTTAACTACAATTTTTTATTAAACATCAGAGTATGGTGCCTGGAAGAGCAGTCACTGTCTCAGGATATTTTCATGAGAGTACACAAACAAGGATGAGAAAAAAGTTAATGTGTAGTAGTAGTATTTAACCTAATTTCTTTTTAAAGATATTTATATTGACCTGTGCCTAACCATAATAATATTTGTACCCAATATTTAATCTTTTTAGCATGATTTTCATTAATTGACTTCTCCCCATTAGTGATATACTGTAGTTCCTGGCTTGAGTTTTTACTGTCCAAATTATACATAGCGTATATGGAAGTTGTCTAGTTAAAGTGTAATATATATTAATAGATGGAGCCAAACATTGTAATTCTTAACAGAGATCTAATAACAACATTTGGTGCTTATTTCAAATAGGTGCTCAATCTGCCTCTTCTTAAAATATTACTAGTATGCTCCTTTTGGATTTTCCATGTTAACATTTCATTTAAAGCATTTGTATATACTAAACTTAGTTGTTCTATTTGGCTTTTAAAAGCAATATATTATATTGTTTACATTTGAATATTTTTTCCCATAACTGAAGATTTGAATTAAATTAAAGTGTTCCTATAAGACTAATAGAAATGACAAATAAAACTTGTCTAACTGTAGTGTACATTTTATATTTACCTTAAAGATCCATCTGTAGATTTGTGATTTCAGTTTTACAGACAAGAAATATTTAAAGTATGTTGCCTTTGCCAATATCTAACCCAGGGATACAATAGTTTGTACTCACTATTTTCTATTCTTTTTGTTAAAAATACACTTATCCCATTTTCTCTTTTTAATACTGCTAATATTAACTAATATATTTTAACTGAGGAGCATTTAATTAATATTGAGTATTGTGGGTTTTTGTAAAATCTTATATCTGTTCACCATCTATTAAGATTTTTTTAAAGATTTATTTCAAAACATTTCTAGCATACAGTGGACCATATTTTATAATGAAATATCAGGTATAAAATAAAATCAAATAAAAAAGAGAAATTAAAATGTGCTGGAGGAAGTCACTAAAAGTGAAAGCCCTAAACCTTTACTGAAGATAAATTCTGCTAGTTAAACATAGTCATTTTCTTTTTAATATATGTATTAGACATAGTCATTTTCTTTTTAATATACCTACCATTTTAAACCAAAGAAAAGTCATTTTACTCAGATATTTTCAGTGCTTTTCATGCATATCTGTGTCTTTTGGGGGATCTTCTCTCTCCATATTTGCTGGTCAAATTTTATATTTACACTCCTGATTCCTAAGTACCGGTATACTTTTTTATATTTGAATATGCCACCATCTTGCTTTTTTTACACTAATCTTATCAGCAGATGTTTTGGTGCTTTTATCAGATTTATTCCTTTGTCTATGCCTCGACTCTTTCTTCATTTGGTGATAAACAGCTTAGGTTGATCAATTCTCAATAAAAACTGTCTTTTTTAAAAAAAATATTATATTTTAGGCCAGCCAAATAAGTAATGTTTTACCCTATGAGTATGAGGGTCAATTTGAGCCTAGAAGCCATTCATACATCAGATTCTAACAAGAAAGGTGGAGTGGGGGGTGGTGTCAATGGTGCCTAAATTTGTTGCCAGACTACGGTGAAGCTATTTATGGATGGCTCCCTAGTCATTTTTATGATTTTTTCTGTGATGGTCAATTCTAGCTTAGAATTTTAAACATCTTGTTTTTCTGTGAGGGTCAATATTAACCTGGCTGATATAATTTCACATTATATGTTGTGGCAGCTTTGAAAAGTGTTTTAGTTACATTTAGTAATTAATATAGTAAGGTTCATAAGTGTAACATTAATGAAGTGTTAATATTGTAGGGCCACCCATAAATGATGTCAAGTGTCTAGGGGTGGTCCGAATTTTGTGATGATGGGAGGGGGGTGTTAAGCAATGTCATGTCACATTTTAAAAAAGCTGTACATTATAGAAAAAAATAGAAAAAAAATAAATCGTAGACATTGTTAACATTATTCTTTAATACAACAATTATTTTTTTAAAGCTACCGATCACTGAGAGAATCAGTACGGGTAATCGAGGTCCTAAAAATGGCTCTAATCAAGTTACAGGACATCATGGAGGAGGAGAAACGGAGTGTAGTGACATTGGCAGTTGTGAGAATTTATGTCGATATGTGGAGACGGGAGTCATAGAATTAGGTCTACCACTTGAAGTGGGATGGAATAAAAATAGTGAATATGGAGGGTGTGGGGGGAATGATCTGAGTAAATGCTCTAGGGCAGGGATTCTTAACCTTATTTTCAGTGCTACTTACATCCATCCCCTTGCAATGTTGAAAGAGTTCCCTCCCAGATAAATTATATAGTAATAAAATTTAAAAATGAAAGAAAAAACTATTTATTGCAATCTTGTTATTTCTTTAATTAGCTTTCGGGGTGGGGGGGGGGATTGCACCAATAAAATAAATGTTTAAACAAAATTCACCACAAAAAATTTACTGCTGCTAGTCAAAAACTGACTTTTTTTAAAAAATGACAGTGGGCAGCAAATACAATTTTCTGGGTCTTCAGTACCCCATTGACTGCTTTCACCCCTATTTAAGAATCACTGCTCTAGGGAAATGGTTCTGACACAGGTGTAGTAATTCAACATGCATGGGATATGATTTTTGTAGGGTTTGTAAAGGACGGTAGGGACAGAGTGATTTTTTTGTATATATGGGGTGCAGAGGTTTGTGGACAAAATAATCTATCTTTTTGTGACAATGGTGTGAAAAAATGTGCGTGATGTCATTTATGGATGGCCCCTGTAAGTCCCATTGCTTTTCATTTCTTCCCATTTTACATCAACAAATGAGATTAATTAGGAATCCATTAGGCGTGTTTAAGTTTGAAATCTGATGATCCAGTAATTTGAACATATGCATGTTATAGTCAATGCGTTAAGTGGATTTTTAAAAAATATTTTACATGCATTTTTCTGCTACAAATTGATCTTTACCTGTTATGATGTTATATGAGGTGTATGCTAAGAAATGCCAATCTTTAACCTTTTCATTAGTTAGAAAATGGCTATTTTTTTCTTTTAGCATATAAACAACATTTAATTCATAACCATTTAATCTTATTTATCTGTCTAGTATTTGAAGACTATTCATGTTTGTATTTTATTTATTATTGTAGAATGATATATAATGTCTGCCACTTTTATATTGAATTTTGTCATTTCTACATCATTTCGTGTCAGTTTTTTTTAAATAAACGACCAGCAGTGCAGAAATTAAATTAATATAGATGTTCACTAGAGTCCATAGATTTCCCTCTCAAAATTGTTTGTGAGACATTGTAATTTCAAGTTAATTGTATGTTCTTAAACATCCCAAAACCTCTACCAGTAAATGAATATGGAAGGGATAAAATAAAAGATTACAATCATAAATTAATTTAGCAGCCTGTCTCACCTGTAGTATGCATTAAGTATATAATTCTGCTTTGATTTTTTATTTTACATTAATTTTAAATAGGATCGATCTCTCAAAATATAATTTTCCCTGCTCGATATTCACAATGAGTGCAGCGCTCATTTCTTGATTATAACCTTTACTGGGGATCAAGTTTATATAGATGTAGTTCATATAAAATGATTTTTGGGTGCACAAATTTAGTTGGTGCCTTTTTTTAAGTCCTGTATAATAATAAAATAAATATATATACTCATGCCCCACCCTAATTTGTGTTCATGTCAATATTTACATTTAGCTACCCCTGTTTTGATGCATGCTTTAATTTTAATGATGTATATTCTTATCTCATATTTCATTTCAGACAACATTTTCCACTATGGCTTTTAATGTACCGTAGTTAATGCTGGAGCATTTGCTGAATCGGGAAATCACAACAAAAATTATGACTTAGGCATAGATTATTTAGGAAAAAAAATATCTCAGAAACAGTCTTAATCTTATTAATTCTAAAATAATTATGAATGATAGCATGAATTTTATTGTCCATCTTTTCTTGTTGGATTTGTCTTAGAAATGTGTAAAAGGTGATTAATTTAAAGAGTTAAAATTTATAAAAATTATTTATAAAATGACAGTGCATAATAACAAATTTTTCACATTACATGGACTCAAATTTCCAATGTTCTAATGCTCAAATACATAACAAACCATGAGAATATATTCTTATCCCTTCTTATTTGCATTTTATCAGTTAGTTCTCTGATAGTAGTTAATTAAAATGTATAGGGTATTTCTCATGATATATTTACATGTATTTTTATGTGATCTAGTTAATCTTGTATCACTGCAGTTTTCATATTTAATAAAAGAAGACAAAAAATCTTGGTTTTTGTTTATAATTTTTGTACATTTGTAAAGGTTGAATTTTGTGTGAAGGTATGTAAGTAAACTGTATGGCATACATTTAGGGCCAATCCACCCTTGCCCTCTAAAAGATACTAAATAGTGCACCTTTAATGAGAAGAGATTGCTGAATTAGAACTAGCTCATGGTGCAATTTGTGCTGTGTTTTATTGTTGTTGTTTTTTTTAAATTATTGTATATAACAAATAGAACACTCATTTTAAAACTATAATTCAAACAATACGAAATTAGTAAAACAAAGTAAGGTTAAACCTGAAAAAGGAACGCAACAAAACAAAAACTTGGCAGAAAGCCTTTGTCAGTGAACAAAACAGAGTAAAATAAAAATTTAAAAATAGCACTTAGTCACTTAGCTTAGAAGTAGTATACAAGAGGGCAGCAAATAAATTGTGGTAATTTATTTATAATTCAAACATCGTTATATCACAACTTTCAACAATATTTTTTTTTCTTAAGCAACTTAATATGCACGTTAGTAAGGCATTTAATAATTCAAAACTTTCTTTCACTGAAATCACACAAGTCTGTGCCTCTTTTACTTTTAGCTTAGTTTTTTTTTTTTCATGAATATTTTTTATACCGGTAACTAGCTTCATAAATTCAGAATGTGAACACAGTAAATTCTTCTGTAATTATAGTATTTATAGAAACTGAGCTTGTTAAGGGCTCACAATTTCCATATTATATCTGTTATTTTAGAATATTTCTGGCTAAAAAAGTTCATTGTGTAGACAACAGCAGCAAAGTCAAACAATGCTGTAACAGTAACAGCATTGTTCAAAGTTTCTTGCATTTGATGTCATGCATGAGTTGCTTCTTCTATATTCTAAATAAAATAATGAATGCCATCATTGATTGTTTTGATGTCCTGATATTTTATTTTATTTATCGACCCTGATTTTTTATTTTAATGATTTTAAAAAATCCAGAAAAAACTATCTAACTTCAATTTTCAGCTAGTTTGCCTTGGCAAAAATAAGGTACCGGAAATTCATTTCTCACTTTGTTAAGCACCCTTGCCTTAGGGTCATCCCATACCGGTACTGCAAGTCATGTCCAAACAAAGCTGACTAGTTTACTGGCAGTGATAGCAGCACTTGGCATTAGTTTGTTTGGCTTGCTGTACGCCAACCCCTATGCCAGGATGGTACATGACGACGACATTCGCCTCCCTCTGAGATATACCAATCCTGATCCCCGGGTGGTCCTCACACGGAGTGATGCCAATCTTAATGCCAGAGTGATGTAAGAACAAAGGTTCGTGCCGGCTGCTCGGGACCTCTATTTTGACCTCAGGGTTGACCATCAGCACCAAACTGTTTTTATTATTGGAAAGCTGGACCGCAGCCCCAAGGTGGCCCATTGTTTAAATTTAAAAGATAAAAAGTTTAGTATACCGCATAGGACATCTCACTGTCAGATTAACTTTAGGTGCGTTCCCAATTGAACTCTCGTGGGTGAATTGCATTACAACTCTTTGGGTTGGGTTGGGATCGACGGATATCATTTGCTGACCTACTTTTGGATGTTAATGGTGCGTTTATAAATATTGTCTGCAATGTTCCTAGCACCCGTCTTACATTGTAGGCCAGTTTGAATTCCGGTCTCTTGCTATCACACTGACTGGCACATCACCCAATTCTGATCCTTTACAGGCCAAACTTCCAGCGGTAACTTGCAGATTGCCAGGTGTCCACCGAGATGCCGTGTTTGATCTTAAAACCTGTCTATCGTACCCTGTTTTTTTTTGTTGTTGTTTTTTTTAAGTAGCAGCGTCCTCCATGGCTACCACAGCCACGCTGTAGGGCAAGTTCAAACCTTGGCGGAGGGGATCCATGATGGGCTCCAACGCCTCAAATGCGGCATGGAAAGGGCTGATGAGGACAAAAAAGATGGCGCAGAGCAGCCCAATGGGCCAAGCGATGAACACTAGGACGAAACTCCAGAAAACTAAGGAGGCAACTTGCATGATTTCAACATCAGAATGGGGTTTGATGGCTGTAGGGTTGCAACCTGAGAACATTGCCAGACGACATGATAACAGATTAATATTGATTATAATAGATAATAATTTTAAAGGTTTGAAACCTGGACCTATGAAAGTATGTATCACCAGTAGATTATGCGCATCGGGGGGGGGGGGGGCAAAGGAAGCGACCGACCCTTATTGTATAATAAAAATTGTATAATAAATATAGTATGAGTGCCTTGTGCTTAGCTTATTAAGTTTTACCATCTCCTGATGTTTTTCTCATTTCCTCAAAAATATAATCTTTCAAAACGTTTTTTTTTTTTAAATGTTAAATCAATGGTTTTTTTGTTTGACCACGGCGCGTGCAAAAATGGGGGAAAGCTACCTTTATAAATGCAGGGGCGCCTGTCTCAGAACGCGCAAAATCGTCATTTTTCATGCAAAATGTGAATTAATACACACTTTGTAGGGGAGGGGTGGGCTAAATTCAGGTTTTCCCCCTGTGTGCCATGGCTCTGAGTACATGAGCTCAATTACTATTTAAAATAGCATTAAGGTTCTTGTCTGTGTCTGGAACTTCCCTTACTCCAAAAAGCAGAAATTTAAACATGTTGTTTATTAATTACCATTTTAATTTGTTATTGAACGAAATTTATCATCCAGACTTCGAGAGAAGCCACAGGAAGTGTGTGGCTCTCTGGTGCAACTTAGTGCGCACTTAAAGATTAGCTTTTCATATATATATTACGCTTCTGGTAGGCTGCTTCAATTTCCGATTGCTTCATAACAAGCTGTCTGCTTCCTATTCAGAGTATTTGGTATTGAGATTATATTAAAAATAATTCTAAATGTTTGAAAGAAAGCATGGTTCAATAGTGAGTTCAATAGTGCGCAAAATATAATTCCCGATAACTACGTTAAATGATTTTATTATTTTTTTTAACGAACGCAACTGCTTTTTGTGCGTAATATTTTCTTTTCGGAAAATGAAATCATCTTAATTTAAATATGGTGTGATAAATATTCGGTTTAAAAGTGGTTGGGGCATCAGAGTATTTAATGTAGTTCATGGGCGTGAAATAAAAAGTGTGCAGTGGCGTATCATGGGGCGAAGCAAAAATTGGGATTCTTAAATGTGCGTTACTTGAGTTCATGTTTTGTCAAGTAGACCCTACTTTTCGTAGATGGGAAGTACGCGCATTCACGCATGATTGTCGCCAATGTTTGGCGGGCTATATATATGTATAGTATAATTATAATCAACAACAAAATAAAAGAAGGAATTTTGGCAAATCGTGTGAAGTTAACTTATCCATATAAGAAACCTGAAATGCCATGAGACTCGGGGGGGGGGGGGGAATACTCTGCATCAAATTGCAGAGCAAGTCCCAGACATTGTAATTAGGCTCACTTGTTCAGGTCAGACCGGTTTGTACTGGATATTGCATCTTTATGCAGTCACGGTGCCACTGGACGAGACATGTTAGACCCCCGGCTGCCAGAGAGAAAATTTTAGTGGTAGCTTTAATACAACAAGCGGTATGCTCAATGTCAGAAGAAAACAGCTAGAATCTGTACAGTCCCACCAGACTTTTTTAATAATATATACCAAACTATAGCTTTTTAAATCGAAGAAAAAACATTAATTACAGGCATCCGGTGAGTTTTGTAGATAAAAAGGTGCCGGTACAGCCACTTTTAAAAGGAGGGGGGGGGCAGAAATTGAGGGCGCCTAAAGTCTTCACATGGAACGTGAGATGGGGTTTAGGGAGAAAGCTCATTGAGTAGGCCTACCCTCCCAAAAAATTTTGTAAGATATTCGAAATGCATGGGTGCATTTTGACACCAGCCCATAATTTAGTTTTGCGTCATTGTGCATACAGGCCTATCGGCGAGCAGCACAAGAGATGCCAGTAGAAACTTTGCTTATTCGAACTTCTAGCCGTACGCAATGCATGGCATTGAGCATTTGCATACAAACAACGAAAAACGATTCCGGTCCCATACGTGCGGTGACTAGACTAGGATAGTGCAAACTTTAAACGTATTCCTTCGTATAAGATATTGTTTCTGGTATGGATCACTCTCATGGGCGCCCGCAGGGGGGGGGGAGGGTGGGGACAAAAAATAGACAAAAAATTTATTAAAGTAAAGAGAAAGTAACTAAGCTGATGTCCTGTCCGTTCGTTCACCATATAAATACGCTGCAGTAAATTAAAACTATATTAAAACATTACTAAAAATTCTTTGCCCCCCCCCCGGAAAGTTAATCGATTCCCCCCCCCCCTTAGAAAGTTTTCTGCGGGCGCCCATGATCACACCCTTAAAGTTTCGTGATCTTTTTTTAATAAATGAAGGTTTAATTATTTATTTATTTATTGTTATTTTATTCATTTATTTTTTATTATTTTTTTTGCAACATCCCTCTTGTTCGCCTTAACTTAATTTTAGAGACTTAAATTTTGGGAATAAAGCGAGTCATATGCCAGTAACAATACGGTACACACGCCTGCATAAATCAAGTGACCTCAGATTTTATTATTAACGTCGCTCGTCTGGGTCTGGAAACATATCCTTGCTTTGAGAAAAAAATATAGTCAGCGCCGGCTTTTGACCTCAATCAGCTGACACCGGTGGTATGCGTATGATTAATATACTGGTCACTTGCAGATGCATTCAAACATGCATTTTAAAGCAGCAACAACAAAGACAGTATCAGAGAAATGGGCAGAGCTCGTGTGATCCCTTTGATCAGAAAGTAATGAACTTTAATTATTTGTTATCCTCTAAAGTAGGATTAATATCTCCAACAGCCCAGTAAACATCCCTGATAAGAAATCGGTCCCAAATTTTGGGACACGTATAATATTTCGAGATGCTATGAATAATCCAATAGTAATGATAATAACAATGATGATGGAAAAATCTCATCAAGCTGAATTTGCGCGCTCCAAATCAACATTTAATGGGAGTTTACAAAATTGAAGTGAAGAGCTTTGACAAATGTATTTTTGTTTTTCGGCGCACAAATAAAAAGATGATTATTTTTTTTAAAAATCAAATAAATGAAGCTGCCTAATGAAACAGTATGGATGTTGTTGCAATTTGTATGGACTTAAAAAAAAAAACACTTTTTTTTTTTAGTTTTTAGTTTTTTACGCTGAATTTTTCAATACGGTATCAGTATTAGCAAAGCAAGAGGGGCAATTATTCCTAATCATGATTTTGAAGATAACATTGCAAATATAGTTTTCTATACCAAAATCAAATTTCACTAAGTTTATCTGTTATAGTAATGATCTATACTGCATAAGAAAAACAATTTCGCCCCCCCCCTTTTCCTCCACTTATTTTGTTTTTTAAAGTGCTACCAGGGCGGGCGCCCCCTCCCAGTTGTGCCACTGATCACAACGGTTCTCACGAAATTAATAACATGTGATTTTTTAATTATCCTTTTTTATTTTTTATAATTTACTGTAAATAATATTGAACATCATTACCTTTTCTTTAAAGAGAGAGAGAGAGAGAGAGATGGACTTTTTTTTTTTTAAAGTTTAGTTTATACAGGGGTTCCTATGTGAATGGTTCTCCTGCCATCAATGGTTCTCAAGAAGTCTGTGTTCGCCAACAGATTGGACATGCACAGCTCCGGCATATACTGGCATAGTTCTAGGAAATCTGCAAGTTCGAATACATCACTTTCAGGAAAGACAACCGAAAAGGGGCGAATGATAACGATTAAGAGCGAGCTCACGATTCCGAAGGGGAGAGCAATAAATATGAGCATACACAGCCACAGGGTGATGTTGAAGAACGTATAGATGACAGGGTGGTCGTCCTTGTCTTGCTGTGTGGTTGTAGACGACATGGCTGGAACTGAAGACGCCGGGAAAGATCCGAAAACTGCATACCCGTTTTTCAGACTACCCCATGTTTTTAATCTAAAGGGAAAACATGTGTTTTTCCTCCAAACCGCTGATTCTTTGGCACAGACGCGGTGTTTGGCGTTCGTTTCAGAATGTGCGCCACACCAAAAGTTGCGCATGAGGTTTGGAAAAAACATTGTATATTTCATTGTAACAGTGGTACTACTGGCTGTAGCGTCGCCCAGTAAACTCATGATGCCCACCCCCTCCCTCCAGACCATCGAGTCTGCCTGCTCTGATGGCACTCAGCTGTCTGGTATCACCATGCTCTTAAGTAAGTTATGAAAGCAGCTAAAACATAACAGAAGAGTACAGTTCAGGAACTGCTCATTCAACTCATTCCTGCCAAAGACAATCGGATCAGGGACTGGAACAAACTTCCAAAAGGAACAGTTGAGGTGACAAAACTTCTGCGTCTATTGCCTCAGGCCCCCCCCCCCCCCCCCCCCCCCCGTTCCTGATACCCTCGCAACCAGTGAAAAAATATCTTCAATACCAGGCACAGACACATTGCCAATCCCCTCTACATAAATAGGAGCCAGAGTGATCGATACTTTGATCGTGAGCCCTTAAGAAATAGACGAACTCTGCCAAATCTCACTTGACTTTGATAGACGAATCCCGGATGGGCTGACACCGTCTGGATTGCGGTGATGCAGGAGTTTCTCAATCGAACTCAACGTCACGTGTACCTCTGCAAAAATCGTTCAATTGTCTAAACTGCTCTGGCCACGCCGTCCAGTATGTTATATTCACTAGCTTATTTCACCCCAGTTCTATATACTAGCTGTTCCCATTAACAGGAATTCCAAAGCTCTACATTTCCATTGTTCTATAATAGGTCATGCGTGGTACTTAATAGTAGGCCTCTCCTACACATAATCGTAATACGTTTTTGAAAAGGGGAGAAAAGAAAGTAATAAGGGCAACACAAGTATGAAATAGTAGTAGAATTAAGTAGAGCAAGGTATGTGGAAGCTTGAATCAAAAGAACAGGACATACCTTGTTCTACTTCATTAACACAGAGTTGAACCCGGTCTTTCATTTACTATCATGTAACAAAAATAGTTTCTCCTATGATCTGCCATGACACCAAGACTTATCTAACTTGCCATCACGGCCACTGAATACGACATGCTGCAAAATTTAGACTTCCATATCTTAAAAACTTTCGTCACCAGCAAATCAAGGAAATATTGAAAAGTTTTGCTTTTAGTCTTAGACTTCTGTTGGAGCATCATTTTTAGCTTTTTTGGGGATTCCAACTTTTTATTACAAATTACAGTTGGTCATACAACTATTTCAGTGCATACACATAAAAACGAAAATTTCAGCGGTACAATTTAAAATGTTGGAACAGTGAAGAAAAGGTACCTAGTAAAGTTGAAGACTACGGGGAATATTTAGATTATTATATTAGTATTAGTATGTGAAAAAATGAATACATAAAATAAAACAAGAACTCTGTCAGTGTGTACCAGATTTCTGTATTAGATTTGTCTTCACTAACAATTACTAACAAGTCAAACTTCCGTACTGGTACAAACACACTGGGTTTAAGTTTAAATTATTGAATGAATGCATGACAGATGTGATAGTGAAGACAGATACAGCTCAGAAAATGAAGGTTTCAGAATACAGAAAGGATCATCAGCAATTTGTAAAGCAGGGCTGTGGGGGTAGGATTTCTTTTTTGGCTATAAAAAAGACAGGGGAAAAAAACAACTTTTCCATGAAGTACTTAAGTCGACATCTCCATAAGAATATATGAAATAATGGTTGGTATGTTTCATATCCCACAATGTTCAAGAAATCTCATTTAGGAGATTTTTGTTAAAAGTTGAGTCCGAGAAAATCTTTGTGAAATCTATTTTCTTCCTTTCTTTTTTTTTGGTAAAACTCCCAAACTCTGATTTGACAGTAATGACAGCACACAAAAATATTTGCCCGTGTCTGTTGATAAATTACATAAATGAGTGTGTGAAAAAAACAATTGGTCCTGCACTAAGGACGCCAACAATCCCACATTTATAAAACAACATATTCAATCATAGCTAAACCTAACACATTTTTAGGCCACATTTTTTTAAAACAAAAAAACAAAAACCAATGTAATAACAGACAACATTGCAATGTTACTGGGCGCTAAAGGGATTATACAAATATGTTTGAAATAACAGCTGTAACACTAATACAACGATGCTCATTCTTCCCACCAGTGATGCCATTTAAAACCAAAGTATTTTCTGTCAATACATTCACATCAGCTATTCCCTGAATTTTAAAGAAATCTGCCACCTTGGAACTAGTAATTAGTATGTTGATCCTTTCTATACACAAAAAAAATTATGGCTGAGAAACGGATTGGAGAATCTATGAAATGCAACTCTGAACATAAATTAGGGAATATTTAGTGTTTTGGATTCACTTCAAGAACTCAGAATACCGTACTTGTGCAGTTTATAAACTCTAAAAAGGTATATCAAGATCATCTTGGGTTTTATATTCTACAAATACAACTGTCATTTAAAGCTCAGTGTGAAAGAAGCATAAACGTGATAGGTCGACTCAAATTTTTTAAATGAGGGAAGAATAATTTTAAAAAAATAATATTTTAAGTTGTTAGGATGACAGATATTTTGTTTTTTAAAAAAACAATGTCATTTCAGTAGTAAAAAAAAAATTATACCTAGGAAACTGGAACAAGATATTTTCGGGCTTATATAAAAAAAAAGACGGGACAATTAAAAGATACTCACAAAACTATGATATTTTAATGTATAGTATAATGACATTCCATGACCAAGTTGTTTTACACTTACGTTTACTGCAGCCAAAGGAAATTATGAAAGAAAAACAAGTATTATATAACGACTGTCAATAAAAACAAAAGTGATATAAACTCATGATTCCCACCCCCTCCCTCCAGACTATATACACGATTTAGGCTGCCTAAGAAAGAAATCTCTAAAAGAATAATACATTTTTGCGGGGTAAAAAGTACATTACAAGCATTTATGACATTAATCCCCTCCGTTTCATCATGTCAATATACTTCTGATTGTTACGTCTGTCTAGCTGTTGAACACGTCGTACATCTCTGAAATGAACAAGTGACAAAAATGAACTAGGAAAGAATAAATAATAGCTTTTATCACAATTTCTACATTACAGAATTGAAATTTTTAAGTTATCCCTGTAATTTATACTCTTATACTTATATGTTTTTGCACAAAACAGAACAATCAAATTTCTTACTTAGCTTGTGTTGGCCTTGACTTAGATGCCAAAGCTTGCCTTGATTGTCTGGTTTTTCTGAAGTCCTGAGACACCACTGGCTTTGCAGTGGTGGTCAATGTCTTGTTGACGTCCAGCGGCTGCAGTTTTCCAGTGTGAGGCCTCCAGGTCAAAGGCTTGGCCAGACTGGCTTTAAGGTCAAAAGTCTTTTTCTGAGATGCCACTGAAGCATTGAGGGTGGTACTGTTCCCAGTAAACTTGAAAGGTGTTGCTATGGAGAAAACAAAATGTTTGTTAAGCTAAGAAAACTGCATTGTTTTAATTTTAAAAATAAATTTAAACACTGCAGGGCAAAGATATTGCAGATAGAACTGTACCATTATATATGCAAGATAATTCTACTTTAGATTGACTTTCAGTTGTGGTCAATCAAAATTGTGCAATCTTATGCACCTTTACTTAAGTTACGTGATCTATTGCTTATTTTTGCGTCAGTTGAAAAAAACTTTATATTTAAATACTATTTTTATCTCACAATGGCACAGGTACATAGAAAATTATTCTATACTGGTGTCACAAAAAGAAATATTTTGTATAGCATTTTAGTAGTTTATAAATCAATCCCCATTAGATATGCCTAAGAAAAAGTACTAAATATTATAAATCTTTCATACATCAAATTATTAACTATTTATATTACCATTGGTGTTAATCATTATTTTCCTAGGCAAAGAAAAAATCACAAATATATATGAAAGTGAAAGATGCTATTTTTAGCTTACTTGAAGGTACACCAGATTTTCTAGCTGAAAAAACCAAGGTATCCTCTTTGGGTGTTTTCAGATTGACTATTTTTTCATTGGCATTTCCTTTTCCTGATGGTGTTTTAGTAAAGTTGAAGCTGAGATTTCTTGTGGATGTGACTGTAGGTACAAAAGGTTTCACTGGTGCAAGTGGTTTGGTCACAGGTTTAACAATTTTAGGCTGAAAATAAGTTGTACTTTACATTTAATATACAATCAAAAGTAATAGAATTGCAAATTGCAGAAGTGAGAAAAATATCTTCATAAGTAGTCCACGAGATTTATATAAAAGATTCTTATGTTTAAAATGACAGTTTTTACTTCTTAGTATTCTTACTATTACACAGCAACATAAAAATACCACAATGGTAATTTATATAACAAAAACATAAAAAGAATTTTGCATTTAAAATACTGTGTAAGCCACATGGCTTAAACTTCTAGCAGCCTCAATGATTCTATGGGGGCAACATTTGAGCCAAAAGCTACACATATTTAAGACCTCTGTTTTCACTGCATCTTTAAGCTGAAGACCAGTTTTTAACAATTCTTGTACAGATTGCTATAAATTATAAATATACCAAATTTTTAAAATCTAGAACACTTCTGCAGCAGATATTTTATTATAACACATACACATAATATATATAGATATCAGACCTGGTTACACTGGAACTTCCAAAATAGTACAATATTATGGTCTCAGAATAGTACTTTACCATCATAAATTGTACACTATCGTATTGTAATAGTAAATAAATTAACATACAGTATAACATATACAATAAATATTAGCATCGCATGTCTAATAATAGTAATTTCTCAAAGTAGATGAATGACGTTTTTATATTTATATACAGTGCATTAGTGTAAATAAGAAGCTGCCCGCTGTTTGCCACTTTGACTGATGAAGGAGAAGGTGTGGTGGGGGAGCAGAAATTGAGGGCGCCCGCACAAGTCACATGAGCAAAAGTAGGGGTGGGGTTTGGGAGGAGGCTAGCTCCCTTCCCAGAATTTTTTTAATAAATTAAAAATACAGTGGGGTCCAGTTGAAAATGCAGTTTTTTTTTAAAAATCCGTAGATTTTGCTATTTCCGCAATCACTGCTGAATGAAATAATTCTGTCACAAAATTACACCATACAGCACCGAGGCAAACAAAAGTGAATGTTTACTAAATTTGTTATTAGGGCGACTATACTAAATATTACTGTTGCTGTATCTATCGAGTTCATTGTGAAAACAGAAAGCAACAATATCATGATCATTACAAAACATGATGGTATTTTAAAAATATTTAGACACCTCCCCTACCCTTCCCATGCACACCCATATGCTTCCATGTCAACATCTCCCTCTCAGTGCATAAGTAATATAATTAAGGATGTCCACAGCCATCGTACTTCTGTCCATTCACTGCCGGGTGTAGAAATGAGCTAAAACTAACAACTGAAATAATTTATTTATTTTAAATGGTAAAAACCACAGGAATATATTTGTTTAAACTTTTTAAAACTCTGACAGGTCTCAGCATACAATAAATGATAAAAGACATCTTAAAATAAGAGTAAACAGGTGTGATATATATAAAGAGAGAGGGAGATGTGTTTGTCATATGAACAAAACCACCATTGCTTGAGCCTATGTTGGCAGACAAATCTGACGCTTCCCCGGGGTGGGCGGGGGAAGATTTTAGGACGTATTAAAACCATTTCGACCATGTGAGAGCAACATCACCAGCCGACCAAATGTCCTTCGGCTGGAGTAGCCTCCATTGGTACTCGATCGAGTGGGTGCTGACGGGGCTGTCCTGACAAGGGAGATCTCCAACATGCTACTTTTCAGTCCTATAGCTCTGGCTTTGGGGGTGGGATGTTTGCTTTGGGGAGGTCAACGTATTAGCTCAACGGCTCGCTGACGCCATTACCTAATGAGTACATTTTCAGTATTTCATATGAGACCAGTCAAAATATAATTTTAATATGTTTTACATATACAGGTAAACAAAACTCGTTAAATTATACCTCATCTTTACTCACCCCACTCACTTTGGGTGATTTAGCAAGCGGTATCTTTTTAGCGCTACCGGTTAATGTTTCCATTCTCTGTTGTTTCTTCTCCAGGTACACATCAAGTGAGTCAAACTTTGAAAATTCTTTTTTATGAATTTTAGTCCAGTTTTTGCTACCTTTGTTACACAAGAGAAATACTTTTGATTCAGTGACATGAATATTAATTGAAGAAAAACTTATTTTAAAATATTTCAATTAAGTCCAAACAGCTTCTTTGATTTAAACTAAATCCTGTTAATTAAGTTAATAAGATAAAATTTACTTTTAAATATAAATTTATAAAATATATTTATAAATATAAAATTGAACTCGGGGGAAAATATGGACTGCAAGCAAAACTGGTGTACTTTGAGCCAAAGAAAAACATTTCATACATCAAAAACATTCTTTTAACGTAACAATTTTTTAGTTGAATCTTTCCTGTTAAAATTGTCATGTCAAATACCTTCAAATGCATTTAGAACTGGGTATACTACATTTATTTATTTCAATATAATGTGATGCAAACTCATGTTTACTAAATTTTAAACGAAAGAGGGAAACATTTTTACCTGGTGTAGCTGGTTTATGTTCGTCAGTTTTCTTTTTATTTGCCAAGAAAGCCATAAATCTTGGAATTTGACTGGTACTTTGGTTTGTTGTGGTCTGTAAGGAAGCTGAATTCTCTGCAAAAAATGTAGTTTCAGTCCATTTAAAATTACTACTTCACAAAAGAATCACATGAATGTCATTGTAAGAATTAACAAGTAATGATTAGTGCTAATGAGGAGTAAGTTTAATTATTATGTTGTATATTTGTCTTATTTCTGCCATGCCAAAACTCCCAAAATTCACAATACACCCAATGAGGCAATTTTTTGAGTGCACATTGGTTAGTTAAGTTTTAAACGCGTTTATGGACTTTGGTTTCTCAGAATTGATTTGAGGATTCTGCATTGGTCCATATTTAACAAATGTCATGAGATATTCAAGGTTTTTTTTTAAACTGAGAAAACAAGGAATCTTTCATTTTATAACTTAAATGTCCATTAAATCCTATTTGTTAAAATGATTGCGCTATGCATCTGATAATTAGATACCAGTACATTACTTGATATTTTTTGCTGCTTGGATTATGGTGGGACAATGTGTAAGGAAAAAGTTGTTTTTTTTTTGTTTGTTTTTTTAAATTACCTTTTTCTCTCTGAACTTTTTTGTCAATTGCAGACATAAGCATTGCCTTTCTCTCAGCACTTGATAAATCAGCATTTATGGAATCAATAATTGCTTTGGTGCTTGGACTAACAGATGACCTGGTGGTCCGTGTTGTCACAAGCTCTGAGCCATGGTGAAAAAATGGACCATATAAACCAGACATGTCTAACATTTATGCAATCAGATCCAGTTCACTGATATAATATAAATACGGTAAAAACTCGGACTACTAATAACTTGGTTTGCAAGTATTTTGCAAGACAAGCAAATCTTAAAAACAATTTTACTTGATATATTATGTCTTTCAATACGAGCACATCTGAGCCAATAGGTAATATCCCATGCTCGCTTACTTACAGTCAGCTAATACTGATTACTATTGTTAGTGTCCAAGGATAGTGACTGTTCTCCATTAACTGCACCACAATGATGGCCCCCCATAAAGAAAAAGGTTGAAAAGAAAGGCTAAGCAAGTGTCATTGTATAGGTTCCTTGTTAAAGTTGCAAATGAAGGAACAAGATTCCAGTGATTGTGTTGGTGACAGTAAAAGTCTATTTACAAAATGGATATCATCCTCTCCTTCAACTCCCTCCATACCTCCTCTCCCTCACACCAGCACCGATGAGATTTAATGTAATCCATTTGAATACTTTTATTAATAATGTATTTTGTATTCATCATTTTTACATCAATATATTAGGGTTATGGAATGAATTATGAGTTTCCTTTTTCTTATGGGGTTATTTTCTTTGATATAAAAGTGCTTTGCATTTGAAGCACATTTCCAGAACGCAATCCGAGGTTCTACTGTATTAACTCACTTTTCAGATCAACTACCAGAACTTTGTGAGATTAATGTTTAGATTTCACTTTGCATGAGGCCTAGTCAACTGTTATTGCAGATGTCTATTTTTAAAGATCACTTATGACTTTTATAGAAGAAAATGACACAAGGAAAAATTATATGTTTGGGCTGAATTTCAAACATATGAGTACAATAAGATTTTTACATTGTTATGATACATTTATAATCTTGCATTGGTGCAATGGACTCGTCACTCATTAAAGGTAAATATTTTTGGGGAGGAGTTATTACTGAAGTAAAAACTTAAATCACCTAATTCAATGGAAAGCAGCCAATTAGAGGTGAGACTGTTATATGGAAAGCAGACAACTAGAAGTGAGACTGTCTGTATAAATATTTGGAAAGCAGCCAACGAGAAGTGAGACTATATAAATAATTGGAAAGCAACCAACTAGAAGTGAGTCTGTTTGTATAAATAAATAGAAAGCAGTCAACTAGAAGTGAGACTGTAAAAATAAAGCTTAATTTGAAGCTGCCTGAGAAAATAGGAAACTTAAAAAAATAATCTTTCATCAATTTTCTGACTGCCAACTCAAAAGATTATAACAATATAAAAGAAAACAAGCCAAGTCAAAGTAATAATTTGGGGTGAAGAGTCAAAGCTCTATAAAAGGATAAAAATGGTTTTCTTTCAATTTAACGGTGAATTTTATTTGTAAACTTATTGACCTTAATATTATGCTGCACTTTATTTTTTTTTATAAAATCTTTATTCATGTTCCTCAAAGCTAGGAGCACATAAGGCTTTTGTGTTGAGCAACACTTTAGGTACATACACCGCCCAATCATTATCTCCAAAATAGGCATTTTATTCCAAATAATTAATGATTTACAAATCACTTCAAAATATTAAATGCAGAATATTTTAATACCATTTTCAGTGGCAGCTTGAGAGGGACTCTCCTTATCAAAAGTATTTCTCCTAATGCGCTTCTTTGATGGCTCATCCTGTTTAGTCAATTGGGCAGGTTCTGCCTGGGTTTTAATCCTTTTGTCAGGCTGATCATCAGAATTCGGTGTACTTTTTGGGCTGAGGGTTGGTGTCTCAAGCTCAAAAGTTCTTCTTCGTTTTTTTATCAGTTTCCTGTCTGGAGTACTGGGTGCAGATGTTTTTGGTGTTTGATAAGTCTCAGCAACATTAGTGACTGATTTGGCCAGCTGTGAGGTACATGGTTGTGCTTTTCAAAAACAAAAACAAAAATGTTCAAAGAAATACACGTTCTTATAATAAATAACTTTTATGGTTAAGAGAGATGAAATAATTACATTTAACTTGAAAACACATTGGTCCAGTACAATCTTGATAAATACTAATTTTAAAAATATTAAGTTCATACCTTTACTCCGCGGTTTAATTATCCTTTTAGCTATGGGACTGAATAGTTTTGGTGACTGAGTTGCTGTGATGTGAGGATGCAGATTCTGTTTCGCCGGTGTTGCCCCATTTCCATTTGTCTTACTGCTCTGTAATAATTGTACAGTGGGCTGTATAAGGAAATTTAAATGAATTCCAGACTTGGGCTACTTTAAAAATAATAATTGAAATATTTCACTCTTCAAAGAAAAATCACACCCATAGTTAACCTCCTCCATGAAACAATCTATAATTTCCTATATTACCCTCAAAAGTAGACCTTTTTATTTATTTTTCTAAATAAAAACGTTTTGGATTTTCAGTTCTTTGATTATAGGATTTATATCATGACTAATGTTAATTTTTAATCAAAACTGGTACAGTCATTTGTGAGATATAAGAATGGAACTCATTTAATTAGCTATGGTAAGACTGTGTAGAGGCCTTGAGGAATATAAACTGAACAGTTTTCATTAATATTTATTCCCATCAAAATTCCTAAAACAAGATCAAATGTATTTTCCTTACTTTAAATGGAGATTTCAATGTGTCTTCTTCATTTTCTGTCTCAATAAAGTGGTCTTTAAGTGCTTTGATAAGTTTGTCAATCTTAGGAGTAAAAAAGGAAAGGGTAAAATTAAGAACATTGAACATCTGAAAGATCTTATGTCAGGGTACTTTCACCAAGTAGAGTAATCATCACTTTCTTAAATGAACAATTCAAGTGACTTAAATATAGGCTACACTTTACACTAATAAATGACTGGCAACTATACTTGGATGGAAATTTAGTCAATCTGTGACCTGGTTAATAAATTATTATTGACAAACGATTAGTAAGGGCTTAAATAGGGCTTAAATAGGCCTAACTATTTGTATAAATGTGAATAGGTACTTCTGAATTTTTTTTTTTAAATTCTAAAAATATAAATGCAATGTAGTTGAATGGTGCTAATTGAATCATTTACAAAATTAAAAAACCACCAAGATAAACTTTCTAGCTCAAGTGGTTCAATAGTTATGAATTTTTTTAGTGTGCACTTCCAGCCAATTTTTTAACATTGACTTTTTCTCCGCATTTGTCACCCATTTTTCAGCTCATCACTTTCCCGCTTTTTCTTACTTTTTTTCTCACTATAACAATGTCATATTTACAGGATATTTCATTATTATGCATTAATAAATTTAAGGATAAAATATACTTTAGAATAACAGTTTCTGTTTTAAATAATTATATTTTAAGCATAGGCATAAGACATCATAAGATACTATTGTTTCCTATATAATACAGATTCAATAAATTGTGCTTAAAAAAATACATAATAATTAGGCTACTCATTAAAATTAAATGTTAATAATAAAGATACAAAACTCAAGTTTGGTGTGGTGTTGTAAAAAATTAATTAAAAGAACCAAATAGTTATTTGTGTAAAAAATAACAGCAGTGATTCCTACAGCATTTAAATCAAGGCGCAAGCCCTACACCCTACACATCTTTTAGCAATCTTAGATAAGATAAGGTCTTCAATCTTCAATTGTTTTTTTATTGCTTTTTTAAAATTAATATTATTTTGTTTAAATTTCACTGGGTGGTCAGGACAAGTCCAAGTGACAAATGACATCAGAATCAGAATAGCATTTAGAATTTATTTGGGGTAGTTTATTTTAGTTAAACTGAAGAAGTGAGTTTACAAACATAAAATTATATTTCATTTGATACCAGATTTAGTCTTACAAACCCAACCTCTCACTGATCTCCGGCAAGCCACTTCGTTAATAACAACAGTAACACCACTTTCACTTTACTGTTACTCAAACAGTAAATAATAGTATCAATAGTAAGTAACCTATGACGTTCAATTGGAGAATGTGAAAGTTAAACCAAGTCTAAGTGTTCTAGTTAACTTAATACCGGGTAAGCCTAATGGAAGGCTTTAAGTTTAAGAAGAGTGAGAGAATCCTTACATTACATTACATAGTAGTTAAAATTAGTAACTAACTTTTACTTTTAAAATTACCTTTTGGTTAGCCTTGATACCGACACTCTTTGCCAGTTTCTGCAACTCTGGATATTTGAGTGTTTCTAAATCTTTAACATGCATTTTGTTACAAATTTGCTCCCAGAATAGAGTAAATGGAATATCTACAAAAGCAGATCGTTCATCTACCAAATCTTCTGTTGTTTGTTTCTACAATTTACTATACAAGTACAACAATCCTGATAATCTTGTTTGTAAACCGCGACAGGAATTCAAAATATAGTTTTTAGCAAGATTTGATTGGCTGGAATCCATTGAAAGGTTGAATTAAAGAAAACATTCGTATTTTTACTCAGTTAACTAAGAAACCGAAAAACGTATTTTTTTTTTAGTCATGAATGTAACAACTTTGTAGCAAATTTAACAAGAAGTGCAATAGTCTACACTTATGTTGGAAATAAATTTTATTTATTTTTCGTTGATTTAGAAGTGTTAAATGTACAGCCACGCCAAGCAGTAATTACGTTAGGAAAAGAGTATTCACACCAATATTCCCTATAAGCTGGGCGCGCGCACACATTTCTTAAAGCCAGCAAACACAAAAACAGGCCTATGCACAAACGATTTTCATATGAAAATAATTCCGTGTTATTCCAAGTCTTTTAAAAAATGAAGTTGCAAAAAATAAAAAATAAAAATACCAAAATATGCGAACAATATAAGGTAAAACTTTGTTTTATAACCAGGAGCGGATTTTTTCGTAACATTACGATATTTAAAATCGAATACTGTAAGCCTGAAACAAGAATAGCCTTAAATATATGGATCATCAAAATATCGAGCGTAGCGATATTTCATAGGTTCCACTAATATTGTAAAGGCCCCAGTTACTAATTCTTTATAATTATATAAAATGACAATTTAGTCGTTTTAATAGAATATTTTTAATTTTATTTTTGTACTAATTTTTCAGGGGTGGGGGGGGGGGAGGAGAGACTGACTTTCTCCAACCCACCCCATTCCCAAATGAAAAGTTGCCTGAAAGAAACACCGAACACCAGCATGCAAGGAAAATAAGAAATAACGGGGATATGTGTGCTTTATGATTGGGAGCAGTGGGGTATCTAGGGTTAGTGCCCCAGGGATGGGACAA